CATCCACCGACTTCATCAAATTTTAGAGCCTTTTATGCTTAGGCGTCGTGTTGAAGACGTGGAAGGTGCACTTCCACCCAAGGTATGCTTTAGTGATTATCATTTGTAATAATTTATTTTCCTGTGATTGATTTCTAACACTGGTGCTTGATTGCAGATCTCCATAGTTTTAAGGTGTAGAATGTCGGCTATTCAAAGTGCTGTATATGACTGGATCAAATCAACAGGCACTATTCGCGTAGATCCTGAAGAAGAGAAGCTCAGGGTTCAAAAGAATCCACTTTATCAGCCCAAAGTGTACAAAACCTTAAATAACAGATGTATGGAACTGCGAAAAACTTGCAATCATCCTTTGCTTAATTATCCATATTTCAATGATTTTTCCAAGGATTTCCTTATAAGATCCTGTGGGAAATTATGGATCCTGGATAGGATCCTTATTAAACTTCAGAGAACAGGGCATCGAGTACTTCTTTTTAGTACCATGACAAAACTCCTTGATATTTTGGAGGAATACTTACAGTGGCGTCGACTTGTCTACAGAAGAATTGATGGAACAACCAGTTTAGAAGATCGTGAGTCAGCTATAGTGGATTTCAACAGCCCTGATTCGGACTGCTTCATCTTCTTGCTTAGTATTCGTGCAGCTGGTCGGGGTCTTAATCTCCAGTCTGCTGATACGGTTGTCATATATGATCCTGATCCAAACCCTAAAAATGAAGAACAGGCAGTTGCTAGAGCCCACCGCATTGGACAGAAGAGAGAAGTCAAGGTCATTTATATGGAAGCAGTTGTTGACAAAATCTCTAGCCATCAGAAGGAGGATGAACTAAGAAGTGGAGGTACTGTTGATTCAGAGGATGACCTTGCTGGTAAGGATCGGTATATCGGATCAATTGAGAGCCTCATAAGAAACAACATTCAACAATACAAGATTGACATGGCTGATGAGGTTATCAATGCTGGGCGTTTTGACCAAAGAACCACACATGAAGAGCGACGTATGACTCTGGAAACCTTACTGCATGATGAAGAGAGGTACCAAGAAACTCTTCATGATGTTCCCTCTTTGCAGGAGGTAAATCGCATGATTGCTAGAAGCGAAGAAGAAGTTGAATTGTTTGATCAAATGGATGAAGAACTGGACTGGATTGAAGAGATGACTAAGTACAACCAGGTTCCCAAATGGCTTCGAACCGGTACAAGAGAAGTAAATGCTGTGATTGCTAGTTTATCAAAAAGACCATCTAAGAACACTTTGTTGGGTGGTAATATTGGCTTGGAGACAAGTGAAATGGGTTCTGATTCATCTCCAAAAACTGAAAGAAAGAGGGGGCGGCCCAAGGGGAAAAAGCATCCCAGCTATAAGGAGTTAGATGATGACAATGGTGAATACTCAGAAGCAAGTTCTGATGAGAGAAATGAATATTCTTTGCATGAAGAAGAGGGAGAAGTTGGAGAATTAGAGGATGATGAATATAGTGGTGCTGTTGAGGCAACACCAATTATTAAGGAACAAGTGGAAGAAGATGGCCCTGAATGTGATGTTGGCTACGATTATCCCCAGGCTTCAGAAAGAGTTAGAAATAACCACATGCTAGAAGAAGCTGGTTCCTCAGGATCATCCTCAGACAGTCGGAGGTTGATACAGACAGTGTCTCCTGTTTCTTCCCAGAAATTTGGTTCCCTGTCTGCCATAGATGGTAGGCCAGGATCTGTTTCAAAGAGGCTGGTATGTGTCTTGTCTTTCTGAATTGATGCTTTCTAACTGGTTTGGTTTGCCTTTGCTATCTATTCAATTTAGTCTCTTGGTGTTTTTCCAGCCTGATGATGTAGAGGAAGGTGAGATTGTCGTATCTGGGGATTCTCATATGGACCACCAACAATCTGGAAGTTGGAATCATGACCGTGATGAAGGTGAAGACGAACAGGTTTTGCAACCTAAGATCAAGAGGAAGCGTAGTCTTAGGGTTCGCCCTCGTCATACCGTGGAAAGGCCAGAGGAGAAATCTGGTAGTGAGACGCCATCTCTCCAACGTGGAGATTCATCTCTGTTGCCCTTCCAAGCAGACCATAAATCTCAAATACAGTCAAGGGCTGATTCTGAAATCAAAACGTATGGAGATCCCCATGCTTTAAAACATGACCAAAGTGATTCATCCTCAAAAACTAGGCGAAGTTTGCCTGCAAGGAGAGTTGGTAATGCATCAAAATTGCATGCTTCACCCAAATCTGGCAGATCAAATAGTGTGCCTGATCCTGCAGAAGATGCTGCTGAACACCACAGAGAAAATTGGGATGGAAAAGTCGGGAGTACGAGTGGAACTCCAGTTTATGGCACAAAAATGCCTGACATCATCCAGAGAAGGGTATGTACAGTTGAATTGTCCTATTACTGCTTTGTTCTGGGTTTTGAGGTGCTAAATGCTGCCCTTATCTGCTGTTATATATGTCATAAGGCGTCTGCTTCCTGTTTTATTCAAGATTTGTGGAAACATCACCTTTTAATTTATATTGCTAGGCGTGTTGTGACATGTAAATGTAATTGTGTTGACCTTTATTCTTTGCATTCCTTTTTTTTTCTCCGGGTGTGGCATTCTTTAGCAATTCTTTTGTGAACTCTAACTAATGTTTCTATTCGTGCAGTGCAAGAATGTAATTAGCAAGCTCCAAAGGAGAATAGATAAGGAAGGTCCTCAAATAGTACCTTTACTAACAGATTTGTGGAAGCGCATTGAAAATGCTGGTTACGCAAGTGGATCTGGAAATAATATCTTGGATTTACGAAAGATTGATCAGCGGATAGAGAGGTTGGAGTATAATGGAGTGATGGAGCTTGTGTTTGACGTGCAGTCTATGTTGAAAAGTGCAATGCAATTTTATGGTTTTTCCCATGAGGTAAGTCGCTCAAGCTTTATGTTCTGCCTTTGTCATTGACTCTGCCATACTAGTTCATTATATTTTCATGTTGCTGTGGTTGATTTTGAAGTCATTCTTAAAGCAGTGTTGCAGAAGCATGACTAAGTTAAATACTGTCTTAGTTACTCTTATTACTAACTGTTATGTGTTTTCTTAAGAAAAAGCAATTAGTGAATACACCTTTCTCTCATCTCTGTATGCTAAAACACATCTTTTTTTGCACTGAATCCAGAAAACTGAATTTGGTTAAACATGGCTATAGAAAAGTAGCCTGTATAATAGTTCTTTTCCAAAGCGTATAAAGTTTGAGGGACACAAGTGCCAGTAAATTCTGATAATTTACGAGTGCCTTTATTTTTAACTGTATTTGCTAATGGTTAATATTTCCTTGCTTTGCTGTTAGTAGATGCACTTGTGTACTTAGGGTGTGCAGTCTTTCAATAAAATGAACTGACAGCCTCTGGTTTAACTATAATGCACAGGTAAGAACTGAAGCCAGGAAAGTACATGATCTTTTCTTTGATATCTTGAAAATAGCATTTGCGGACACTGATTTTCGAGAAGCCAGAAGTGCACTCTCCTTTACTAGCCCAGTTTCGACCACTAATGCTCCATCCCCAAGACCGGTGACTGTTGGCCAAAGCAAGAGACACAGACATATAAATGAGGTGGAGCCTGACCCTGGTCCTCAACAGAAGCCACAACAACGTACTCCTATTTTCAGTGGCGAAGACACGAGGATGAGAAGCCATATGCCCCACAAGGAATCAAGACTTGGGAGTGGAAGTGGTAATAGTCGGGAGCACTATCAGCAGGATGATTCTCCACAGCTTGCTCATCCAGGGGATCTGGTTATCTGCAAGAAGAAGAGAAAAGACAGGGAAAAGTCCGTGGTAAAGCCTAGGACTGGATCAGCTGGCCCTGTTTCACCCCCGAGTATGGGTCGCAGTATTAGAAGTCCAGGTTCAAATTCGGTTCCAAAGGAGAGATTGACTCAACAAACCTCGCAAGGGTGGACCAACCAGCCTGCTCAGCCTTCGAATAAGGCTGCAGGGTCAGTTGGTTGGGCAAATCCCGTAAAGAGGTTACGGACAGACTCTGGAAAAAGAAGGCCAAGCCATTTATGACTTTGCTAAAGGATTGATTAATGATGTACTTGAAGAAGTTGTCACTTCCCTTTTGTTCATAATTTTAGTGGCATAAGGGCACAAATAGCCATACTGTTCATACAGTGTAGGTCTTCGTTTACAAACATCTTTTTCTATGAAAAGTCAGTAGCTTCTTATATCTGTGCCTCGCAGGTCGTACCCCTCCCTCTGCTAGAGAAGACCTTTGTAAAGTAATACATTCCCTTCATACTTACTGATCTTGAAGATTAAGTGCCTACAAATCTCAATTCAATCTGTCACCTGCTTGGCTGTTACTGTAGTTCTCATTCCAATCATCCGATTTGATTGGTATCTGTCAGTGTAGCAGCCAAGAAAAATCCATTTAATTACAAACTTTCTTCTTTTATTTTATGCTGAAAATAGCAAAACAATGTTATTCCCGGCCAATAACACAATAGCAAAACAATGTTATTCCCGGCCAATAACGCAATGACATGTGAAAGAGTTACTTCTCATTCCAATCACCCAATTTGATTGGTTTCTGTCAGTGTAGCAGCCAAGAAAAATCCATTTAATTACTTTCTTCTTCTCAAACAAAACGTTATTTTATCCCCGGCCAATAATAATAATAATAATAATAATAATAAACCTTTTTGAGATGGTTCCCAGAATTCATGGAAAAAGCCCTTATCCTAGTTAATTCCAAGTGACAGAATTCACTTTACCAAACTCCACCATTCTGCCAAATTAACTATGGATGGGTTTCACCACTCTCCAAGCTGTAACAAACAAGAGACTGAAGCATGAAAACCAACAGTACATTTATTTACAGGGGGGCAAAGGAAACTAATACAAGCTGGGGAATTCTTTCCCTTCCCAATATCCAGTCTTCTTTGGAGTTGGGGATGAATTAAGAAAAGGCTACAACATCATGTACACATACAAACATTTTAAAAGAAAGACCAGAAATCCCTATGGATCTGCTTGACCTGCCACTTGATCATCACAAGAATCAGATTCATCTTCACTTAGTTCCTCATCACTTGATTTGTCTTCTGGGACAGCTCCTATATCTTCAGGCTTTGCATACTTCTGACAGAATTCTGTATGAACGATAGTATAGTCACGTCAAAAGTTATGGGGAATGCAAAGCAAGAGCTGTATATATCAACAGGACCCAATCTATCAATGACTGATAGTTACACAATGTCATGTGTAAGTACTGGTCATTCATAGGTTCAAGCTAAACCCAATCAAAAAGTATCGCCACCGCCACCCCCCCCTCCCCCAACACCTGTCTATGTTTAAATTAAGAATTTGATTTGAGTTGAACTTGGCACTGCCAGTCAAACAAACTTCTACCAAATTAGTGTTAGATTTAGCTTGCCCGGATCCAATCCAGTTTAGAATTCAATTAATTTGCTATTAAAGGTGACAATTCCACATCAAATTCTACCAGATCCACCTTCCAGCGGTCCAATAAAACACGAAAATTTCATCTTGCTTGTCAAAGACTAATCAATCAAGAATCCAACAAAGTCATGTTTAGGCATGCATTTGAATGTTCTCGGAAACAATGGACATCAGATATTTTTTTGGGGTCGAAAGAAGAAAAAAAGGCTAATTCCCCATACACATCATAACACATAGCCAAGATCAGCAAAATATCCACTAGATTTAAAATTACCACTACTTGACCATCATTAATCCCATTCCAATTAGAAAAACTACTATACTATCAAAACCAGAAATGTTGTTACCACTAGCGCCCCCTTCGCTCACATCAATTGCAACATCTCCAGTGTCAACTTACAAAACAAATGAATCCTTAAAGAAGATTGTTTGGATCGACCATTGTTCCTAGTTTTCAATCAAAGGTAGTGTTGGAGAGAAGGTTTTTATGCTAGCAAATACAAATAAAACAAGGCCTGTCATTTTTCTCACTCATTGAAACACACAGTTTTGGCGGCTTCAACTGTTTCTAGTGTTGAAGATTTGTTTTTAAACAACATCACAGTACAGATGAAGGTTAACCGCCATGCAGCATGGATACTTAAGAAGTGTATTGAATGCTTCCTCGGTTATGATTAAAATCCAACCTTAAGCACAATGATAATTACAAAATCAGAAGGCACTAAACAAGGCACTCAGATTGTCTGATATGTTTATAGGTTTAGATGTCAGTAAAAGCTCACATCTCATCCATGAGACAAAATTCTGTGTATACATGCATAATTTTATTTCATGTTTGGTAATGCACATGCATGACTTATTAATGGAGAAATTTATGATTACTTCTCAAACATAACACAATGCAAGGTTCTCAACTCAACACAATTTAAGCTGACATCTACAAGAGTAAGACAAGCAGTGTTATGTCAACACTCAGAGTTATACTCCACAAACACAAGGTTTAACACTATTGGAAAGGTCATATATGAAGAATCCATATGTTCCTGTCAGCACTAATCTTAACATGGATACAAGCCAGCAACAAATCTCAAACTAGCACAACACAGATGCATGACAGGGAAACAAGAACCTAAAAAACAATCAATACCTTTAACTCTTTGTTCGTAAGCAGCTCTGTCGCGCATCATCATAGCGGCAGCCTCTCCATTCAAAGGGTCTGATGGATTGGGATACAGCAGAAGCTGTGGTAGGAATACTTCAAATACGTTCACCAGATCTGGGAACACAGGCTTGTAGATATGAGACCAATAAAGTCAACCATAAAAATGGAAAGAAACTTGGATTTCAGTCTAAAGAGGTGGCTAGTTAAATGTGTTTACCAAACATGGGGCTCCACGTTTGATTGATAACATCTAAACAAACTGAACCTGACCTGAAATTCAATTCCATCATTACAGTTAGAATTGAACACTTCCTATTTTGAGTTGGTTAATGGAGCACGCTGCACATTTTACAATAGCATGAATTCTTGACTGTTATTACTCACATCTCATCAACATTTGGGTGGTAGATCTTATTGACAAAGCCTATTGAGGGAGATTTATAGGGATAAGCATCTGGTAATTCAACTCTTATCCTCCACACCCCTCCCTGATAAGGACCTGCCAGAATCCATGATATGGAGCAAACGGGATTACGGAGTCGAAAAGAAGAGAAAATTTACCAGAGATTCAAGTAGCTATTTCCCAAACCAAATTATCAAAGCCAAATAGAGCAATGGCCAAACAACAAATTTGTTTAGCTGTTGTCAAACACAGTTATAACAAGAAACAAAGAGCAAATTAATTTCTTTATGATCATCAAGGGGCTAGATTTCTTCCAGATTTGCAATCAAAAGTAGTAAAAAAAAAAAAAAAAAAAAAAAAGGATAAAATAGAAGAGAAGAAAACTGCAATTCCAAAATATACAGTAAAAGAAAATGAATAGGGATTTATTTTTTTTTTTTTTTTTTTTTGGTCAAAATAATCTACAGCTGATAACATCTAAAAATTGCCAACTTAGCTAAATCAATAGAGAATCAAAATTAGCAAAGACCCATAACAGAAACCAACTTAAAAAGCAAAAAAAATATCTTGTAGAAGCACTAAAAATTAGAAAATAAGAGAGGGGTAATGAAAGTTTACTTTCACTGGGTCCATGGAAATCTACATAGAACTCATGCATTCCATCATTGATCATATCTACCTTATAATCACTCATCATCCTGATAAAGCACAAGGGAAAGAACAGGTAAGATAAGCCACAACAAAAAGAAAAAAATATTCAATATTTTTTGGATGAGACTATTAATCAGAAAATTCACAGTTTCATCAAGTCCATCTCCCTGCGTTTGCTTGGGGAAGACATGGTTTTAGTGGCAAATCTTTCTCCTTTGTTCTTCTATGCTATGAGCCTATGAGTTATGAGGAGAGAAGAGTTTCTAGCGAACTTAAAGAACCAAAACCGGTTCAGACAACAATAAGTGAAACTAGGAGATAATAAAAATGATGGCTGAAATTTCTAGTAGGACCCATTTGAAATTTAATACGCAATTTTTTACATGGCTCACAGTTTCATCAAAGATTCCTCCTTTGTCAGGGATTCTATTCACCCAAAAATTACTCACCCCATTACACCTAATTCAACCAAAAAATAAAAAGACATGGCTTCATGTGGGAGTAATTCCGAATAGGCCAATAATCACTTTTATATGGAATCACTTCTTCATATAATCACTTTAAGTGTTTTTAAGTGATTTTATGGTTGATGCTTCTACCCGTAACTAATTTTAACAGTCTCAAAATCATTCCCAAACGAACTCCTAAGCTTCCTCCCAACAACACATCCTACAAAATTCCCAAAACATCCTTAATTCTTTATCTTTTCAAAATTTGGAAAGGAAAAAATAAATACAAATTTATAAATAAACCCAATCCTAGACATGTATTTATAAAAAAACCCAAGCACTATTTAAACATAGAAACACACCCAAAATCAACCCCCAAAGTCAACTTTTTGGGTGTGTTTATAAATGGGTTTTGAGTGTGTGTAATGATGGGTTTTGGGTGTGTTTATAAAGTGTTTTGGGTGTTGGGTTTTTTTATAATTTCAACCTCCATTTTGGGTGTTTTAGTGAAACTCCCAAAAATAAACAATTATAAATAAGAAAGGGCCAACTATAGATGACCTTTGTGCCAAGGCCGGTCTCTAGTGGAAGAGAATCAGAATTACTTATTTTAATCAGAATTATTTTCATTAATTTTACATAGGGGTAAAATGGTCATTTAATTTTTATTAAAACTTGGTGTGACAATAAAATCACCTTTTGCTTAGAATGTGTATGTGAGGCTAATACTTAGATTAAGTATGAATGGTTAAGATGCATAATTGATCATCACATATGAATTTTTCTTTTTTCTTTTTTTTTTTCTTTTTTCTTTTTGGCAAAGTTCCTTTTCTATTGTTGGGGAATGGATGAATTTCAAACTCGTCGTAAAAGAAAAATATCATTAAGTCAATAGCTAGTTATTTAAAATTGTGATAAGTTTGTCAAATCTTTAAATTATATTTTTATTTTCTTTCGTTAACATAAAACGATGTAAATTCTTATTGTATATTCTACATTAACAGTTTAACAATATAACATGCCAAATCATTTGAAACTAAGTAATTCTTCCATTACCCTAGCTACAAAATATAGCACCCACCCATTCTCTTGGATTAGATATGACCTTATGATCTTGAAGGCAACATGATCATGTGGGGTCACCTAGGTTAAAGCCTGGGGTATAGCTTGGCAAGTGGGTGAAGCACATTCTTAGAACTCACGGGCCTTCTTTACATCAAAAGATGGATTATGACATAAAGAACCTAATCAGCATTTCCTCTTGCCAATCAAAGCAAGTTTGCCTTGCTTGCATCACTTGCTAATTTCACAAGGGCAAGTTTTGGTTTATTTATTGGCACATCTCGCATCTAACAGGCCTTAATTTTGTTTTGTTTTTATTTTTTATTTTTAAATATTGATAAGTTTTTTCACAAATTTAATTTGATCACTTGTTCTGCATGCGTGTTCATTTTCAGTCTCACAAATCCACAGTCTCCCTACAAACTAACGTATAAATCTAAACTTTGAAAAACAAAGTGAAACAAGTTATTGTCACATGGACCAAACTCAAACACATGTCCATGGCCCCAAAACCATGCTCAACAATTGGAAGCTGGCGTGTGGAATGATTAATTAAACCCACGAGCTTCTTTGAAGTTGCTTCCAGATTGAAAAGTCCTCATATAGAGACGAATCATTAATATGGAAAATAACTTGCGAACTTGTTTAAAAGAGAGTTCTGATATTAGAAAATAAGAATTCCACCGAGACTTTATATACATGGATAAATACTCTTAATTATTTAAACTACAAACTCTTTGATTCTTTCATTTCAACTAAGAATTTAATTAAGTGCATGTATGCGATTGAAGCGATAGTACAAATATATGCGCACCTAATCATAGTTAACTCTTTGCTTATATTTATGAAACTATAGTTATACTCATGGACACGTATCAAGTGTTGAGAACGGTGGTGATAATACACCTTAGATTAAAGTGGTGAGAAAAATACTATATAATTGAAAGAAATATTCTCAAAAAAAGTTGTGACGAACTTTGTTATTAATTAAAGGATACAGCAGATTTGTTTGACCAACTTTCTATATTTTGTTGTGAAAAAAAAATAAAACCTGCGTGGTCCACTGAAAGTGTCTAACCTGAGATTCATTGAATGCTTGCGCGGATGGATGCTTTATTCTCTCTTCTTTTTTTTCTCACTTTCTTTTTTTTCAAAAATATGAACAGGAGAGTGCATTCATCAACTAAAAGAAAAAAATCTAATGGAGTTGACTATAGAAAGAAAAGACATTGGGTTTTCTTTTGTGCAGTGCACCTATAAGATCTCTAGAAATACTCCTTGATTCTCCTAAACTCAAATCATATCCTCATCTCGATTTCCATGAATCAATCAGATTATTTTCATTTCTTGATTTCTTGATTATTAGGATTTGTAATCTTTAAAAATTTCCTAATCCTCGTTTAGCAGCTTAAAAATCAGAGATAATGATCCAACAAGCGCCCAAATTCTAACCCAAACACATACGAGTACAACCTGCAAGCTTGTTCACATACATACATTAATGCATACCATTACCATAACAGACTAAAGCATCTCTTGGGGAGAAATAGAGCCAATTTCCCCGTAATCGGTTGTATACAACTATGTGAGTAATTTTATTTTCTATATCAGTAAAATAAATAAGATTTTAAAGAACTACACAAATCTGTTCCCCCATGTGTGTGAATGTGAGATAATGGACCCGAGACATGGGCTATGTAACCAAGGCATACATTTAAAGCATTGATCAGACTATTTGACAATAAACTGGGGACACATAAGAATGCAGAAACCAAAACAAAAATGACTCAGGTAAAACTCGTTCCTTTAACCAATTTAAAAAACCATTTCATTTGCAATTACAAGTTCTGTGACGGAGACCACAACCTGACTTCACCGTACCACTGTTCAGGATCTACATCTAACCACTTATCTGTTCCCTGTATTCATCCAAAGGGTTCTTTTTCAGTAAGCTTTTGCTGTCAAAAACCTAAATGAAATGTGCAAAAAACAAAACGACTCATATTTGAGATTGGTAATCAAGAATTGACATGAAACTATATCTCATAAGATGAAATCACGAAAACCAGACTTAGAGAGCATCATTGCTGCTTTCATCGCCACAGCTGCGCTTCCAAGCCCATGTTTGTCACTAAAACCCTTCAAAACCACTTCTGAAAATGACAATCTTTATAACCCAATATTTCTATTTCAAAGACACAGATGATTCTGCCCTGGCGCACTAAGAGGATTGTCTATCTTGAACACTCTTTCCAAGCATTCCACAAAATTACTAGGCTTCTCATTCTCCCAAAAACAAAAGTATCTAACTGCAAGCCAGATTTCAGATGGCTATCTGCATTTTGCATGTGGCTTGTGTGGGGATTTTAAAATTGATTTTGATGGCTTGCGTTCTTCATCCCCAAAACCATTAGTTACTGATCCCGACTCTAATCCTTCGTCGTCACTATCAATATTGTTTGGTGTAAACCTGTTCTGGTATCCTCTACGGTGCAAGAGAAAGACATTGAAGTAGTAGCTTACCAATTCTCTCCTGCTCTTCTTAGGAAAAGACTTGAATATTTGATCCCAAAAGGTAATCCCAAGAGAAGGAGGATTTGACTTTACTATGTCCTTGAACTTCTTTTCTTCTTCCACTGTCCAAGAGAGCCCAACTTCCTCGCCCATCTGATTGAATTCCCAATGGTAGAAAGCTGGCCCCAGTTCTAGCTTAACTCTTAACCTTTTCTCAGAAATGTGAAATCGGACACATTCTATAGAACCTGACACTTGGCAGCCACAAGATTCTTGTCTTCCCTTTCCAATAGGATCCCTCTCAATTAGATATCTGTGCTCTGGTTTTTCCAATGGCCAAAACCTGGACCCCAACCACTTCAATTCACTTTCAGAAGCCTCACCAGTCCATTCTGGTAAATGAGCTTGATAATTTGACCCCAGAGGAATGTGGCTTGGAGGATATCTGTCAAGTACAACCGGTGAAATCACTGGTTCCAAGTAACTGATCCTCCATCCCTGCCATGTCAGGACTATAACTGGGCGAGGATGACTCTGAACCGGTTCTTGATTGTGGCATTGTCCCCCCAGAAAGAAGCTTCTTTTCCAACCTTAGCCTCTCTCTAAGATTGTAAGATGAGCTAAAATGGTCATCGTACAAGCTTGGATGCATCCTCTGATTCTTCTACAAGTGGGAACATGATTTAATGTCAAAAAAGCAAACATCTGAACATATTTACATCGTTTATCAGTGTGAACAATATCTTAATATAGTAACCATGACATCAGATAGAAATAAAATAAAACATATATTACACAACCTGTGTACAGGTACGTCAATATATTTTTATCTGAAGGTTAAAAACTTGTTTTACATTTTGGAAAATGAAAAGGAGTTACTGACCTGACCCAAAAAAATGCTACGTAGCTATAGCGTTACAAAATGTTAACTAGCTGATAACAAATAAGCACACCAGTTTAGCATGACATAGTAGAACACACATCAGGTATTGGCAGCATCTTCACAAAAACAAAAGATACAACTGTTTGTTAAATTGTCTTGCAAGGAGAATAGAGCAATGCGTTCCTGAAAGATTTAAACAGCTAGGGAGATTCAGTTTGAGGGACATCTTTGTAGGGTTTACTTTGTATAGTAGTTTACTGATCTGAACAGTCAACTTTTTAGGTCTTCCCCTAAAAATCATATGTGCAAAAAATCATCCAAATAAAAATCATTGAACCATTTAAATGGTAGTCATTTTAGTGTCTTTTTGGAAAGACCACATTCATCTATTTATTATCACAACCACATGTCTTAATGGACAACGGTTTGTCTAATTTTTTTCAAGAATCTATGAACGAAGACTTGAAAAATAGATGGTTCGGATCATTGAAATACAAAGCGAAGTGGGCTCCACAAGGTATCCCTCAAATAAGTTAATTTGAGAGATCCCTCAATAGAAGGGGACTCTTCAAACAACATCTTTAAGTTCTATAAACCCACATTTCTGGAAAAATGAAAGAAAAGCCCCTTTTTATACTCACCAACATACCATAAATCAAACTGACAGAATTCGGTTTGATAAATATGCATGAGATTAATAGAATGATAGCATTCCATATCCAAAAAGAGCAAAAAATAATAAAGCATATTGGATTCAGTTACAGCAATGAAGGCAATCAAATAAAAGCATGACCAAAATTAAACAGAAAAAGTGTGCATGTGTGCTTGCAGAAAAATACACGAACAGAGCATATCAAAATTTATACACAAGATTAGAAAATTTTCCAATTATCTCAATAATTATAGCACACAAGATATGATGTTAAATACCTGCCAGTTAGACTGTTCAGCACCTGAATCAGCATGCTTCTTCACAAAGATGGCTTCTCGAGCCCACAAAACCTGCATCCAGTTCTCCTCATTCCCAAAGGACTTCCACTTCGACCTTTCTGGTAATGAACCAACTGCAGGATCACAAGGATCCTTCGCAATCATTCTAACCCAATTCAGCATTCCACACAATGATTCTTGCTTCCTTTTCCAAAAAGAATTTGCTTCTTCATCTGTAGAGGGATCCAAAATCACCGCATCTTCATTACTAATATCATTGTATTTCTTCCCTCTACGTGATTCCCCCACCTCACTACCACAGGATGGCCCTCGCTTCCTTTTACGAAAAGAACTCACTTCACCTGGAGAGGGATCCAAAAAAATCACAGCTTCATCACAATCATTGTATTTCTTCCCTCTACCAGATTCCCCCACCTCACTTACCTCACCATTGTCACACACTTTCCCGACATCCTCCATGCTGTTCGTCAAATCCAAATTCTTATTCATTAAATTAACCGTACATTTCATGGCACCACCTGACAAAGGCACATCACCATTGCAAAACTTTCCAGCATCCCTCCTTGAATCCAAGTCCAAGAACGCTTCACTAACAACACTTTTCTTGAGCCTATCTGACTCTGCTACCTCACTTCCCACCTCATTACTGTCCTTAAAATTCTTAGGTGACAATTCAACATGCGGGTAGCCCCCATCTTTCACCTTTTGATCGGAAATCTCCGGAAAAACCTTTGTAAGCTTATCCTCCAAGTCCATGAACTGCTCTGTCAAATCGAGGCCACTAATATCCACACTCCATTCCAAGGCCTTATTTTCTATAACCCTCTCGAGTAAATGCAAATACTTGACATAAACCAACTTCACAGCCCAGCCAAGACCCCAACCCAAGCCACACTCTTTAGCCACTGAATCCCATACCCTGATTTTCGAAATGGTATCGAACCCACCCCGCTTTCTCACAACCCAAAACAGCTTAAGCAAATCCACACGCTGCCCATTACCGATCATTGGAGGCAAAGGCCGAAGCAAGCCCTGGGCAGAGATCTCTTTCAGAAAAACCCCGAGTAACTGATCGAACCAGCATCGGAGCTTATGGGGCACGTCTAAAACGCAGCGTTCTGGAGCTTCCGACTGTGGTTCAAGATCGACCGAGAAGCCGTCCGTCTCGTTCTTTTTCGGGGTTTTGGCGCAATCTAAAGCGGACCCATCAGCTACCATCGACCACCCTGCCATGGATTTCGAATTCAAACCCTAAAAGCAATTCGTTGGTGGTTGTTTTTTTTTCCAAAAACAAAACAAATCCAAAACCACACACAGAGAGGCAATAGAAAAAGACTTCAAAATTAAAAACAAAACGAATGATTTTGACAATATATATACATGAAAACAGTGACAATTAAGCATCTGGGTCGTTCATGGAATATGGAATTTTGGCGGGAAAATAGATCTATCTAGGGCTTAAAAGGCAAAGTACAGAGAGTTTCGGAGTTTGGACCCCCCATGAAAATCTCAAATTGTTTTTTCAGTCCCGCGCTTTCCCTCCCTCTTTTATTGCAGTCATTGATGATTGGGTGTGTGCTTGTGTGTATGTGTGGGAGAAAGAGACGGCATAAAAATTTCCATGTTTTTGAACAGAAGGAAAAACAGAAAGACCCACACAAAAAACCACAATTTAGGCCAACCTAATAATTTAGGTCCTCACAAATGGAGAGAAAGAGTAAAAGAGAAACCATACCAGTACTGCTCTCGTATTTTTTTGTGGGGGTTTTTGCATTTTGATTTTGATGACTGATGACCCTTTGGTGGGTGGTGGTGTCCTCTTTGAGTCTTTGATTCTTGACCTTTGGGCTTTGGCCTCTCTCCCTTTCTCTAGCTCTCTTTTTCTCTCTCTCTCTCTCTCTCTCTCTCTCTCTCTCTCTTTATATTTCCACCCAAACCCAACTCTTTCTTTTATTTTTTTTGGTGAGATGTGAGAGGGGGAGAGTTTTTGATGGCAAATAATATGATTTTGAAAAGCTAATAGGGTTTTTGAGAGGAAGGGTCACAGTCCCTTTATTTATAGCTGCCATCATCAACTAACCTTGGTTAATTATTTACTAGGTGGTTGAGTTATAGATGTTATGGGTTGAGGTGATTTTAGTGGAGAAAAGTCTCTTCCTTTCTTTTTTCTTTTTTTTAAGAAGGGAAATATTAAATTTGTTCATTAGGAATGTCCTTGGAATAATAACTCTATTTTGAAGATCCATATCAAATGAAAATTTTCTTTTGCACAAGGTGAGTGTTGTACCACTTGAGAACCTTAAGAATATGTTGGACGATTTTCAAAACAATTTACTTAATTTTTTTTTCTTTCTAAGTTTCAAGTTCAAATCTTCCTACTTAATTTTTTTTTTAAAGAAAAAAGAAAAAAGAGAACGACAAACAAAGCTAAGCATGAGTTTGATTTCAAAAAGGTTGGGCATGATAAAGACAATATTATGAAAGAAATAGGAGAATTGGCATCTTTGAGTTATAAGTTGAGGTTAAAGTCAAAGTTTTGCTATAGTAATTAAATAGTTTAAAGGGGGTTTCACTAATACACCCAAAATAGGGGCTGAAATTATAAAAAAACCACATGAAAACACTTTATAAACACACCCAAAACCCATTTATTAAACACACTCAAAACTCATTTATAAACACACCCAAAAAATATACAATTGTTGATTTTTGGTTTTATTTTGGGTGTGTTTCTATGTTTTAAATAGTGTTGGGTATATTTATAATTTCATGTCTAGGATTGGGTGTTTCACTAATTTTGTATAGTTTAAAATGCGAGAGGCTTGTAACTCAAGCGATTATGAGGCTTGTAACTCGAGCAGTTATGAGGCTTCATTCATGCATATGAGGTCTTGTGTTTGATTCTCCTTCATAATATCAATCGTATTTAAAAAAATAAACCTAAAACAATTCATTTCAAGATGGAAATAAATCCTCTTGATAAGTATTACCACAATAATAAGGCATTACCACCTTATGTGGCAAGTAATCCTCCTATAATAGAAGACTTCCTTTACAAGGATTCTTATCTATTTGAGATTGTTTACCTAAATTGGGAATTTCAACAACTTTATAAAATCTGTCATACAATGCATAATGCCCTCACCTAAAATTGTTTATGGCTATATTGCAGAGAATTGAACTTTGGATTTATCCTAATCCTTAGGCATGACAATTTTCTCTGATCCTTAGTAGCCTCTGGGCGTAGCCACACTTCCTACCCTGTTACACGTTTAAGCTTTTTAGTTTGTGTTTGTACTTTTGTTTTAATAGCATAATTGTATGATTATATGTTGCATTTTACATGTGTTTTTTTAGCTGAGGTACCTTTTTTTCTTTGAGAAAAGAAAAACTACAAAGAAAACCCACACGGGCAATCGGCATTTTATGTTTTATTGCACTTTACATGTATTAAATTGCTTATTAAGAAAATTACTATAAATGAAATAGTTATTGGGGCCTTGTTGGGGGCATAGTCTGAAATATCGATAATATCAACGAAATATCGAGGATATTTCGGTTTTTTTCGAATTACGAATATTTCGAAACATATCTATATAAATATCAACAATAATATCGGAAAATATCGATGTTGATAATTTCGCTCACACTTTAGTAATATTTTGTCAAAATATCGGTGTAATATCGAAAATATCGATGTAAAGGAAAAATAATAATAAAAAAAAGAAAAAAAAGGGAGGGAAAAAAAAACACAAAGGGGATTTGAACACCTCCCATTTTACTCCCCCAACACCTTAACCACCATATATCAATTATGTTTTAGTGATAATATGCTAAAATATTTATATTTATACGGGTGGCATGTTAACAATTACATGCAAAACTATTTTGGGAATTTATCATTTGATGAATACTCTTCACAATACACTTACTGTACATATAGAGATGATGAAGATAGTGAAAAATTTGAACCTTATAGGAATTCTATATGGTACTAAATCACTCATGTATCTTACCATACAATGTATAAAGTGTAAAATATTGTAGTAAATCATTATATATAAATGATTATGGTGTGTGTTTAATATTTTTTTCATTAATTACTACATATTTTCTACACTCATAGTGTTTGCTAGCTCGCTGTATAATCAACTTTAATCAATTAAATCCATCATGTAATGCATTTCCTTCTTTTTATTTATTTATAAACTAATAGATAATTGACTAAATAAACATTCTCCAAAGTTTCAATAAAAATTTCCATGGTTTTTATTCAATTTTTATTGATATCGATAATATCCCAATATTTCCATAGAAATTTCCATGTTTTTGAACTACCGATATTTCCGATATCATCGATATTTTAGACCATGGTTGGGGGATCGAGATGGTAATGGCAAATTCGGCCTCGACCCGCCTTGCTGCAGTTCTGATTGATCATGACCTAATGCCTCACTCAATTTTTGCACCTTCACTGATTTCATCGGATGAAGAATCAAATATCACAAAATCACTAAATCGAGAATCCCATATATATATATATGGCAACATGCCCTTTCAAGGCCGGGTATGGCAATACCATCCTCGTCCCCTTCCATATCCCCGATAAAAAAAAATCGAGGAATCTTCGTCCCCGTCGGGGGTCTACCTCCCAAACTCGCACCGAATCCCCAGTTTTTATTAAGAAAAATATTTATCATACATTATAACACTATAATTTCATGTTAAATTATCATTTAACTTAATTACAATCAGAGCTCATTTGGGAGTGCTTTTGGAGCAGCGAAAAGCGCTTCTAAATGGGTGAAAAGCGCTTTTGCCTTTTAAAAATGGTGTTTGGCAAAAATTGCAAAAGCGCTTTGGGTGAGATCCAAAAGCACTTGGAGTGGTTTTGGAAGAAGTACTTGAGATGTGCTTTTTCTTAAAAGCACTGCGGGGCAAAAACAAGGGAAGCACTTGGCTCCCTTTAATAAAACTTTTAACATGTCGAAAATACCCGTATTTAATTTTTTTTTAAATGCCAAAATACCCTTTCTTTTCTTTTCTTTTTCTCTTTATTTTTATTTTTATTTCCTATGTTTATTATAATATTTTGAGATTCTTTACTTTTTTTTAAAGTATTTTTAAAAACGCTTTTACTGTGTCAGTCAAACACTCAACAAAATATTAAAAGCAACTTTATATAGTGTAAAAGCACTTTTAAATGTGACATCCAAAAGACAAACTGCTTCTTTGTAGAAGCGCTTATGTCATAAATGCTACTGGCATAAGGGCTTCGAGAAGAAGCACTCCCAAACGAGCTGTCAATTGAATTATGCAATTCAGCTCAACAACTCAAAATAATCTCAATTCAATTTGACAAAACTAAATAAATATTATATTACATCATAATCATACATGGCTATATTATATTAAATTAAATATAAATATATATATATAACTATTGGGCCGAGTATGGGTATGGGGATAACAATCCCTTCCTGGCCCATCCCCGATGGGGAATTTTTAAAATTCGGGGATCCATGTACCCTCCCTCAAAATCTGCATCTATTAGGATCGGGGACCTAGCCCAACGGAGATTTATGCCATCCCTAGAGAATCTCTTATATATTATTTGATTTAATTCAAAATGCGATCATTATCTTGATATATGAAATCAAGGCAATTAGAATATTTATAAGATTGATTTTATCTGAAAATTTGATAATTAAGATGATTAGAGATAATTATCTATCTTAAGGAGAAATTGGAATACTTACTAAAGAGAATTTTATTGGAAGATGGGGGTTGTATCCAATTCAAACTTTTAATGACTTTTATAGAGTTCAAAACTTTGGAGGTATTCAATTTTTATTTTTAAAGAGTTTACATAAAAAAAAACTTTTGCTATTAACAGTTAGCCTAAAAAGTATGGAAAAGTCATTCATTTAATAAGCTTTTTAAAAGTCATTAACTTTTGAATACTACCAAACTTTTAAAGACATTTTAAAAGTCACAATTGGATACCACCAAACTTTTAAATACTTTTTAAGAGTCACAATTGATTACCACTGGACTTTTATAAACTCTTTAAAAATCAAAATTGAATACCTCCAAACTTTTGAACTCTATAAAAGTCATTAAAAATTTAAATTGGATACACCCCCTTAGTTTGCACTTTGGGTCATTGGTCCAAATCTAAGGGATGAAAGATTGATGTGTTCTTCTTATTCCTATTGTAATTGTTCCATAGTCAAGTTTACTTTGTAGTGGTTTCTATCCCAAACTAATTTTACATTTACAAGGCCACGTTCGGTGGCTAGGTTTGGACTAGATTGGATAGTTAGATTCAAGGTATGCTAAAGTAAGAAATGGAAGTCAACCTTGAAATTGTGTTCATATTGAAAATAGCAAATGAATTAGTTATGAGAAACATTAAAAACCCCACAAAAATGATAACATATCAACAACTTATAACATATCCATTTTAATCCCCACAAAATGAAAAATTCCTAGCTTCATTTCTTACTTCAACATACCTTAAATTCAATCGTAAGTACCAAGCATTGTTTGTAAATGGATGTGCTTGGGGAAAAATTAGAGAACGTGATAAGGATGAGGAAATTTATGTTTTTAATATATTATATTATATTATATTATACATTAGATTTTTATTATATATTTGTTAATGGGCGGGGATGGGTATAGAAGATGGACTGGTGGTACGAACATGGATGACGAGGGCACCAGATCCCGCTCCATTATATCGACTCTTCTTTTCTGTGTTTTCTGTTATTTTCATTTGAAAGTAATTCAATAAGCAGGAAAAAAAAATTTGAATGCTGCTGGCTAGACTTTTTTGTGATTGTATAATGAATAAAAATACCTACCAATGGGGTGTTAGTTAAATTGACTCAGACTTTTGGTGTACTCCCAAGTGGTCTTGAGTTCAAACCCCTATGACACCCCGTGCGTGTGAGGTTTCCCCCATTCCTTTTATACTTTGGCCAAAAAATTAATATAAAAAAAACCTATTTATAACAAACATTTACAGTCAAAAGAAAAAAAAAGGAAAAAAAAAGTTGATTTTGTATTCTATATAGTTTGAGTTTGACGTCCATTTTCTTGCCCACTCCATTTTCTAGGATCAACTAGTTCTTCTCCAGTCCATTGTCGCATTCTTTCTAAGGCTTGTTTTACCTGCAATTTCAATTTGGATCGATTGTTAAAAATTTACCACAATAATAGATTATACTGGCTAATCATAAGATTAATTCCTAATGGCAAGCTAAGCTCATTGAGACATTATAATTAAAGTTGATGGGGAAACAAATATATATAATTTACCTCTTTGTTCCAGTTGGTCTTATAAACTATGCACAAGAGGATAATTGTCTGCAGTAATGTCCCAAATATCATGCCAATCCAAATTCCCTAAAATAACAATGCTCGTTATCGAGAAAATAAAAATGCTTGTTAGCATGTTAATCATTAGTGCAAAAGGGTGTGACCTATAAATTACTTAAATATATTGCAAATTTCGTAGCTAATTAAAATGAAAGGGATGAATGAAGATGTATTTTCTTCAAATATGTTCTTCCTTAATTTCTTGTTTACTATTACAATTAAAATATATTAGTTGCAACCCTTTTGTTTAAGAAATGGTGCATGATGACCAATGAAAAATGATAGTTTACCTCCACTCTCAAACTTGTTTTGTAACCGAGAAGAAACCCAAGAGGTAGGCCAATGACATAATAACAAAACAAATTTATGTAAGCCACCAAAGCTTGCCACCCTCCTCCAACAGCAACACCTGTGGAAAAAAATTTCATTTTTTACCTCAAGTTTTTCCAAGATTGATACTATTTGGATGCATAAGTGAAGGAATTATTGAGTGAAAATTTGGACATGATTATATGTAATCGCGAATCAGTGATCATAACTTGTTGTTCAATGTCAGACTGTCTGATAAGAGAATACTTTACCTGATATAACAGGCTGAACGCTATTAAGCAACATTGTAACACTGAGAAGGAATGCTAAACGAGAAACGGCTTGTTGCATCTCTTTGCTGTCAGTGAAGATGATAGCAAAATGATCCTTGGCTGCCAGGATAATCGCTGCGAAAAATAGCCCAATGAGGAGAGACTCGAGGATGATGATAATGACTGAGTATTTTGCAGCTCTAGGATGTGCTGATCCGAGCTCATTGGAGACTCGAACGCTGCAAGTAAATTGAATGAAATCATTGCATAAACTGATCGCACGATATGACAATTGATGAGTTATTTACCATTTCAGCCATAGTATTTAATGTAAGAATAAGTACACATCAACTATTACATCACTTGGTCAGCTAATGCGGTATAAACAACAGGAAAGTTCCTTACCTTATGGCTGCATTGATCCCAATAAACAGCATGCCTTCCCACCCATTCACATTCATGCTGAAACAGAAAATCAAACACAAATCAAATTAAAAGTTTGATTCATCGCTTCATTGGCATACTCTAGTAAGCTTGAGGTTCACAAGAATCAAAAGGAAGACAGGGAAAAATGGTTTACTGTTTAGATATAAGCTCACCATATTGAAAGGGAGCCAACTGCAATGACAGGGTTATCAAGGTGTCCAGTGAGAACAATTATGGTCATGAAGTACCAAATTTCTAGGCAAAGCATAACAGCTGAAGCAATGGAGAGTTTTGCAAAGGACCATAGTTCCTTGAAGGCCAACCATGACAAGCCCTTCCAGCCATTATTGCACCAATAAACTATATAAACCACCTGAGCTATTGCCATCCCCCAGGCTGAGATATCATAGGCAACAGCAGCGCCGCTCGTTCCCCACCCGAAAACTTTAATGAAGAGATAGAGAATTCCTATGTGTATTATAAGAGCTGCAAAGCCAATCCATGCCAGAACCTGAACCCTGCTCTGTGCCTGCAAGAACTTCTGAGTTGGAAAATTGACGGCGAGGGAAAACATTTGAGGGATGGTCTGGATAGAGAATTTTCCAGCTAGATCTGCAATGTCATCTTCTTGGCCAAGCAGCTTTAGGACCGGCGCAGAGTATACGTAAAGCGGTAGCAATGCGAAGCAGGTGGCGAATAGAATTAGCCATGAGCGCTGCATGTAAACTCCTAGCATGTCTACTTGTCCAGCACCAAATGCCTGCCCACAGAGTGTTTCAAGTGCACTTGCCATACCAAGCTGCAAATTCATCCAACATTAATTGATTGCTTAGTTTGTTTTAAGTTTTAGCCACTGAAATCAAATAGAATGGCTCACAAAAATGACCAAATAGATATACTTCTACACACACATAAGCATTCAATTGTTTGTCACAAACAGTTTTCTTCAAACCATGCTAATGGCCCCCAAGAGAAACCCTAAAATTCTAACTCCCTATCCCAGAGGGGAATAGTTTAGCTAACACAATTAAGTGAGACAGACTTCTTGAAACAAGTTTATGAAATTTAAAATGATAAAACCTTATTGCAAAATTAAACGAAGATTATATTTAGAAACATGAGCATGAGGAGAAGTTTGTAACATTGAAACAGGAGGAGCTAACCAGGAAGCCAAAGGAGAAATTTGCAATGACAGAGAGAGAAATTGCAACAGCAGAGAGCTCCACATTTCCAATATGCCCAACAAAGATGTTTGTGAAGGAATTAATACCATAGTTGCACAAAATATTGAAGGCAATTGGCCCTGCAATCCTCCAAAGCTTTGTGGTCTCCAAATAACATATAACCTTGGCGTCGGCGAAGCTGCGTATGGGCGGATAATCTCCATCACTGGAGCCAATGAATGCAGGAGGTGCATGGTGGAGGTCTGCAGTTTCCATGGCTGAGACTCCATCAATCGTTAATGTTGGACTTTGTAGCTCTGCTGGTTGCCCAGGTAAAAATCCAGCAGAGGCCTCGGCCTTAGCTGCATCATTTTCTTGAAGGGTACCTATTTTTACAAACTTTTATTGAACCCTTTAGCCTTTTGACCTTCTGAAGCTTGAGAACGAAGAAACCTGAGGAAATTTTGATCATCTGTTTCTCTGGGTTTCTTTTTTGTTTTATTAAAATTTTTTTTTCTGCGTCAGTAAGAATTTTGGTCTTTAAGAATGTTTGCTGCTGGCTATAATTTAGGTAGACCATAGAAAGAAATCAACCTGACAAAAAAGATGACCAAGTCTTAGTTTGTCGGACAGCAAGTGTTCAGTTTTCAGTTATTTCTATGCAGGATTCTAGTTATATTTGCCTTCAATTGGGTACAATTCACAAAGTCACCATATGTTTATATTTATGATACACAAAATATCATATTCATATGTTTCATTTTTACATTCTCGTCCACCTGTCATAGCCATATTTTTTTGGGGGGGTTTTTTGTGTGTGTAGTTTTTCCCTATAAAAAGAAAAAACAATTGTGGGTATAAAAGAAAAAACAATTGCGGGTATGAAACTTTGAAATCAGGTGGGACTTGATTGATAGTTGGATTGCCATAGTAAATCTAGGTAGCAAGAATTGTCTTTTGTTTTTCTGTCTTTGCGTTTTTTATAAAAAATAAAAAATGCATTGTTCCTTCACTTATTTGAGGAAAAAAAAAGGATAGAAAGTGACAATAACTCACATTTTTAAACAAAACCAATCTCAAATTACCAAAATAATATCTAGATGGAATGACAAAGATTTCTTAAAAAAATCCATATATCCCACCAAGAAAAATAACTATTGCTTAGGACACAGAGTTGGTGAAAAATAATCGTCATTCATGACCTTTTTTTTCTTTTTCTTTGTGCATCTATAAAGTCCTTTGTAAAAGAATCCCATGACCTTTGCAAAAAGGCATGATCATTTGCAAAAAGGTGAACCAAAAAAAGATAGGGAATATCTCACTGTAAATACCTAAAGGCTAAATGTCAAAACTGTAATCATGAAATGTGATCCCAAACCCCACAATCATAATCGGACCTGTCTCTCACTTCAACCTACTGATAAAATTCTGATTGTACATAGCTAAGTATATTCTCACCACAAACAAAGTACATAGATCAGCAAAGAGTAACTAGTTTTCCAGTTGAAAAAGAAAATGTATAAATTGGGATTTCAAATCTTGTAAAGATGTAATTTCAGAGGCAAAACTTTCCACCACCAGCAACATTATATACATCATCATACTCTACAAAAGATCTCTTTGCAGTTTTCTTTACATGAAAAGAAAAAAAAACCTGTTGTGAAGAATGTGGCCTGGAATTTATTAGCCTTGGTCAGTAAATGCCACTGAACTTCTCTGGTTATCGTGCTCAATCTCATTCACTAGGGAGGAGCCATTACCAAGAGACGATTCTGAACCACAACTAGATAATCTCGTGTTATAACCGGAGAAGTCGCTGCCATTAGACAACCCAATTCCAGAATCAGCCTTTATCCCACAAAAAGACTCCCCTGAAACCAGTGCTTGCAACAATTTGGGAGCTGGAGGAACAGTCACTTCCACCACCCCTTCCAACATCTTTACTACCATCCCCATTGTAGGCCTCATTGCCTCAGAATCCTGTATACACCACACTGCCACCAATGCAACACGCTTTGCCTGCTCAATACTATATGTGCAGCCGAGCCTATCATCAAGTACTGCCCTCACATTGCCCTCAATTATCTGCTGTGCTGCCCAGGGAGGAAAGAACCAACTGTCGGTTTTTTCACCTCCACCCTCTCTGCCACCTTCAGATCGGCGTGCCTCCACATTTCTGCGCCCCCCAAGTAATTCTATCAATGTCATTCCGTAGCTGTAAACATCGGCTTTTGTGGTGATTGCCACACCAGATATCCACTCTGGCGCCACATAGCCCCAGGTACCCCTCATTGTGGCTAATACCCGACTAAAGTCCCGGCCAAGTAGTTTTGCTAACCCAAAATCTGACACCTTCGCGGTGTAATCACTATCAAGCAAAATGTTTTCGGGTTTGATATCACAATGGAGTATGCAATCTCTACACGCCTCATGTAAATATGCAATGCCTCTTGCCATACCAACTGCTAGACGAAACCTAACATCCCAACTCAAATTTGGACCCTCTCGACGTAGATACGCACTAAGAGCACCATTTGGCATGTATTCATAAACTAAAAGTCTATGAGAATTTTCTGAGCAGAAGCCTCTAAGTCTCACAAGATTGACATGTTGAATGTTCCCAATGGTGCAAACTTCGGCTTGGAATTCTTTCTCTCCACCACCTGGCCTGTCCAAGCGTTTCACAGCAACAACAGTAGAATCTGATAACTCCCCATGGAAAACTGCTCCAAAGCCACCATGCCCAAGTTTGTCTGAAAAACCCCGTGTTGCAGTGTGAAGTTCTTTATAAGAAAACACCTTCAAATTTGAGGCCTGCTGAAGTTGAACAACCCCTTCTTTTATTTCCTTCTTCTTCTTCTCTCTTCTCCAAATCAAAACCATCACCAGCACCACCACAAACCCCAAACCCGCAACCGACCCAACAATGCTAGCACTCAAAACTACAGGATTCAACTGCTTCTTGATCTCAACCTTCAAATTTTTCTGTACCCTTAAATAGAAGACCTCATCGACTGCACCATCAGAGCTCAAATTCTTCAAATTCGAGAGAGACCCATAATAAACTTTACACACGGTACTATTGCCATCGTAGTTGACCCCTATGCAAGAACAAATTTCCAAGCATGTGCTTTGGCAATCATCCAAAGTAGTTCTATATGACTTAAAGTAAGAACCTTCATAGCTCACAACACCAACTTTGTCAAACCCATCACCCCTCTCATCACAAGACTCACGATCTTCAGCCATCCAGTGGCAGCCACCAGAGTAGTCCCCATAGTTCCAACTAGGCTCATCCACAGGATTAAAACCAGCGAGGCATTCACAGGGCCTAAGTGCTTCACCACTGCAAACCCCAAAAGCCCCACACAGGCCAAACACTCTGCACTTGTTCTCAGGCTGAGACCAGAACATGTTCCAGGTCTGGGTTGCCCAAGTGAACTGCCGGAGCTGACCCGAAACGTCCATCTGGAACCGGGTCAGCGGCGGGTCCAACCCGTTATCCAACGGCTCCTCGGTGAACCCGAACGACGCCGTTGGCTTAAACGGGTCGATAAAATGGAACTTATAGATGTAAGGCACCAACATCTCAGGCACATTTATGAACCCGTTACCGGTCCAATTCCCAGTTCTCCAGTAAACTACAGTGCCATTGTAAAGCAGCTCAAACTCACCGTAGTTCGGTGGTCTCAGCCGCAGAGAATACGAACCTGGCGAGGGGTCTCTGTAGCTTCGCCAACTCGTCAACGCCCGCTCGCTCGTCAAGTTCATGCCGGGAAGCCACGTGTCAGTCGGGTAATCGAAGCTCTGCCACGCGACCGTGCCTCCTTGGGTGAGCAAAACCAGATTGCCACTGTCCAAAAGCTGAACGTCAACACCAATCTCCGTGTTCGTGCTCGACCACACGATAGAATTACCCGGGTCCTTGACCACCAGTCGACCCGACCCGGATATTTCTAAGCTCGAGAAAGTGAGATTCTTGATGGGTCTCTCTCGGTTTGCGACCCAGACGCAGGTCGGGACTGGAATCGAAGCGTACCGAATGCCCAAATACCAGTTGGGTTCATCGCCATTGGTGGAGATGAAGCCGAGAGAGAAGGTCTTGTTCGCGCTCGAGAGAGTCGAGTTCCCAAATACCACAACTTTGCTTTTTCCCAGTATTGGGTATTGAAGCGATGCGAGTAAGGAAGACTCCGTGAGCGAGTTTGGAGTGGGATTTGAAGCAATGGGAAAGTTGGAAACCTGGGGCCTGTTAAAGAACTGGGTTTCGTTTTCGGCTGAAAATTCTTCAATGGGTTCTTCAATTGTGGTTGTCAGAAGAAGGGTTTGAAGCAGAAGAAGAAGATGAAGGAGAAGACGAGAAATGGGCAACATGGTAGAGGCCATGGAGGGTAGTGGTGGTGGTGGCGGTGGCGCGGTTTCATGGAAGAAGAGAGATATGGCGGTGGGCCGATTTCATGGAGGAATCAGAATAACAAGAGAGAGAAAATACGGTGGTGGTGCGATTTCGGTGGGGAAAGAAGGCGAAAATATGGAAATAGAATTTAAAAATGGAAAAGAAAATAATAAAATAAATTAAGAAAAAGAGGGAATTTGCCTTTTTGGTACAACGGGAGAGAGGGGACCAAGAAGTGGACTGTGGAGGCAACATGGGAAAGTTAAACGCGTCCAAACGTGATTGCCTGAAAATATTCTATTTTCCATTTTTATTATTTTTATTTTTATTTGGTAATAAAATTATAATCAAAACCAAGACCAAGACAAAAAGGTCTCATTGTCATTGACAAATCTTGCTCCTGTCATTCTCCCTCTGCTGCGCATGGTCATCATAATCTTTGAATATCTAAATTTATTTTAGTTTTCTTTCTTTTAATTTGTAATTTTAAAAGCCAAAAGAGTCAAGCTTTTTAGTATTTGTCACACTAAAAATGATTTTTTATTCCAAGGTTTTAAGACTTAGGTGGTCCGGACATCATTGGATTCTATCTTAAAAAACAGTTCGGGGAGTTATGTCGTTTAGTATCAAGGGTTGAATGTTGCTTCAATGATTTTTGAAGGATACTGCTTGGCTTAACTATGTATAACAAGATTCGTATTGGCTTAACTATACATCAAGTGTTTTAGGCCTCCGTGACCACTTCAATAATTCCAATCATATAGTTTAGATGCGTAGGTGTGTCTTCTTCGAAGATGTCGTTCGATCGTGAAGTTATTTTATAATACAAAGGGTGTATTCAGTTGTGATTTTAAAAGATTATTTGAGATAAATAAGTCTTGTGATATTCAATTAAGATTTTTAAATTATATAAACAAATTTTGTGGTATTCTATTAAGATTAAATATGTTCGACAGGAAGCTAGTTTAGGACGAAGAACAATATGAAATCATCATATGGATTTGAATTGTTAATATTAAATTAAAAATCATCAGATGGACAATACTTTATTTAAAAATCATGAAAATCTAATAATAATGAAGTTAAATTCAAGGAATTTTTATAATTGATTTCAACATGTATGAGAGCATTTTTTTTATATATGTCACTTTAGAAATTCCCAGTTCCAGGTAAAATTGGCCTCACTGCATGTATATATGAAAGTGCCAAACAAATCACATGCATTACAAAAGAACTCACATACTGTGATGTGGTTGTGGACATCTTCTCTCTAATTAATTTTCCTACAAATAGGTTAACTAGGCAGCTACAAATGGTGGGTGACATGACACTTGTGCCCTAACAGAGCACAAAGTGCCCCATCATGGCTGTGATTAGAGTTCTGCATAATGGATCTTATTACTAGTGGTTGCTCAATCCAAGTCATGGTGGACCTCAAGAGTCGAGAGGTGTAGTTATGTCATGAATAAGATGCTAACTCTAAATAGGAAAGATGATGGGTAGTTAAATTCATGTGGTCTTTTTTTATTATAAAAATAATGCATTTGGTTTTTTAAAATTATAAGTGAAAAATCTTGATTATAGAAATCTATAAATAAAATCCTATAAGTCATTACATTCTACTTAAATTCACTAGACTTTTTTATCCCTAAATAGTCTTTTAAAATCTCAATTGAATACACCCCCCAAGAAACTATGTTTAAGAATTTCATAGAATGTAGTTCATAGGAACACATCGAATATAAGGGGTTGAATAGTAGTATTGGTGATTTCTATAACTATAGGGTAAAACTTACGAAATTCAATAATAATAAAATGATTTATTTCATATTAAAGACGAGAATTACCAACTAGCCCTTAATTTAGTAGTACTGATTTTCTTAATATTAAAAAAAGTTCAAATTCAAGCCACCGTCCATTGTTGATTTTGAAAAGATAAGAATAATGATGGTGTACTTGTATATTAGGGTACAAGGACATTGACTAGTCGACAACACTCTTTGTTTTCACAAGAACCCAAGTGTTTGGTGGTTTAGAATGTGTTAGATACAAACTTCTAAATCGTAGTGCATCAATCTAAGTACTTGTATCTTAGGAATGGTGACATGAGGGTCAATGATGCTCAAACGACACGCACTTTGCTACCCAAGAAGGATTCGAAATGTTTCCCTTTGTGAAAACAAGAGGCTCAACATGTGCCTCTCTCTCTTGCATCCCACAAGCTCATCTTCTGCAATTTATACATATAAAAAAAATAAAAAAAGAACACATGCAATGAGATGAGACCCACACTTATAAATTCAAGGGCTTAGCTCTTCCATTCTTGGAAGACGAACTTGACAATATTTAAACCAAAATAAAGTCGACATAGACCCAGAAAGAAAGCCCCACTAACCTAATTGATTGAGTTTTACAGTAATCGTAGGGGGATGTTAGAATACAACTGGTTCATACAATCATACACCATCAGCACACAAAAAAAAAGAACCAAAAGAAAAAGAATCCAATTTGGTTGCTAAGTTGTGATTTTCTGTTTAATTTTTGTTTTGCTTTTCTTGCTCTGTTTACTTTGAGGAATAGTTTAGTTTACAGTGATCCCCAGTATCCATAAAATCAATTTTCTAGCAAATATTTTAGGACTCAATTTCCTGATCATTGGATGATTTCATATATGAAATGAAACAACTTTGCCAAATCAAATCCACCCAAAATGTAAAAGAGATGTGATTTACAGATTAGAATCCAAGGGCTGCAGTGAGTGTATAAATCAAATTCTGCAGCAGATAACAACAAATGACAACAGAATGATTCCTACAACAAACTAAGAGATCTGTACAAAAAGAGTTGTAGCAAACCAACACAATTTTGAAGATGGCACTGGCATTCATTTTTCTGGTTTCCATTGAATGGCCCTGTTCTTAACTTCTTGATTGCTCCACTTAGAATCCAGAGACCTGTCTGAGAATTGGAAATCAAGCTCTAAACAAAGAGAGAGACTTTACCAACAACTGACCAAACAAAACAGCTAACATAAGAGATCCAGTTCAACCTCCAATTTGAGAATGACCAGATTAAAAAAATGAATCTGCAGGACACCCATCCCCAGCAGGTTTCGAAACAAACAGCTACTGTCCATCCAGAGTCTACTGAGTTGGCAATCTCTGACTTCAAGCAGCAAATAAACTTTGATTTTGAAAGAGCACTAATTAGCTACAAACTAAAGCTATGGTCAATCACCAGTTCCTGAAACATCAGAAAAGGAGAAAATTTCATTTACAAGCATAAGGGATCTAAAACAACATAGACAAATCAGTCAGAGATCTGATTGCTTAACAATTATCACGTAGGGTTCATCCAGTCACCAATACCTAGGCTCGCCATAGAAACAGTGACATTTCCAGTCATTCCACCAAAAAACTGAGGTGCTTCAGTATTTTTCACTCTTTTTCTTACTTATTTTTTGGTGAAATAACTTCCTGTGCAAGCATTGTTAACAGATGAATCCCAAGGATACTATCTAGTACAACACACTCCTTGCCATGACAAAATATTTATCTGATAAATGAATATATCACTTGTTTCAAAGGCAAACCTGATCACATATAGGACAGGCATCACTTCTTTCCATCCATTCAAGAATACAACAGAGGTGATAGTGGTGCTCGCATTTTGTGATAAATTTTGGATTCTCTGTTTCATAGTCTGCATGTGAAGATACAAGCTTAAAGCATTAGCTACCTGCGGTTTAAAATAGCAAAATGATGCAGAAATGGACTTTTCTTTGTTTCCTATAATCAAGACAAAAAGAATCATACAACAAAAGAATTAGTTCCCTGAGCTACTGATGGTACAGCACCTTCAAGACAAATGGGACAGACATCCTCGTCTTCTTTTGCTAAAACATGAGGTTCATTTGATTGTGAAAGTTCTAACTTCTTTGGTGAGGTATTCAAAGAACTTTCTTGAACTTTGCAGTCTGATTCCCCAAGATCTCCACAAGTAGCTGATGTATCAAAACTACTGCAACTGATTGTTTCCCTGACAGAATCAGAATCTGTTGATCGTGAACATCCAAAGACCATATCATATGGCAACGGTGGAGGAGGGGGTCTGTAAGTGTCTGGTGTTGATGCTTCCAGATCCCAATGAACCAGGAGTCCTGCACTGAGTGCAGAGGCTGCGACATCATGAGATCTTAAGGACTCTTGCTCTTCCAAAACTGGTGGACACTGAAGAAAAGAGTTTTAAAAAGAGAATGAAATCTTAATACGCATAATAGACCACTATTTGATTAGGAGAAACAAGCACAATTTTCCACTCTCCTAATATTATGTGATACAATTATTTCCACTATGAGTCCTAAACAGTCAGCCACACAATGATGAGCAAACTATAATATGTAACAAAAAGAGAAGTTGGAGTGAGAAGATATACGGACATAGAAATACACAGGTGCTCCGTGCAGTTGCATATGAGCTTTTCTGGAAGAACAACAACAACCTCCCATTCTCCGCAGTTATTACAGTTATGCACCCAAAACCATCCAATATTGGGGCATAGCTTCCTGTTATTTGGCATCATAGGCGACTGAAGAGTCAAATGCTATAGATTCAAAAGAACTAATATGTTCCTATGAGTTAAGGAGATTGTATACTACAAAACTAAAATGATACAATGTTACTAAAACTGAAAAAAAGTCACAACAAAGTGCTTAAACATATTTAATAACCCTCAAAAGAGGTAAGAAGAAGACATAAGAGTTGACAGACAGAAAATACGGCCACAAGCAGGCAGAAAAATATCGTAAAGAAGTCAGCAGAAAAATGATAGACAGAGGAACCAAATCCAGCCAACAAAATAGAAGCTACACCCATGATGCTATCATTCCAGAAATCTCATGCTATGAATTACAGCAATTGAAACCATGATAGATATGAAATTTCGAAGCATGTGTACTTGAAATTAGTGCTGGTGTTGCACTTCGAATTCAAATCCTCAAAACATATTCCATTCTTTGATGTTACATATACAATCACCTAACTTATAGTATTTCCAGCATGAGAACCAAAATATAACCTGTAGACAGAATCAATACCTTTCCTTTGCTAAAATGAATAATACAAACAGATAGCCTGTGAAAGCTTCTTAAACTCCAAATACTCATACAACTTTTAACTCTTCCAATGCTATCCGACTCAACAAAACTTTATCCAAAGAAAAAAGCAAAGACAACGTGAGTGCCTTGACAAAGAAACCGCTCAAAATAGAAACAACCCACAAAAGAAGAAGAATAAGAAAAAAGGCAGAAAATAGCAAACAAGAAACCCAATTGAATAAAAATTGCAAGTGAGGAGCCAAACCCAATAATCCAATCACTACCCAGAAGCAATTTTCACCAAATTTATGGAACAAGAACAACAAAATGAGTTCTTGTACACAAAAACAACCACAACCAACTAATCGATTGCTGAAATGTTAACCGAAAGAGCAAAGCTTTTACCTTTGGAAATTGAAAAGATATTTGTTCTTCAGAAAGAAGTCCCGTCGGTGAAAGGAAAAAAGAAGAATCCTTTTTGGCCTTTGCCTCTTTTGGGTTTGTATGTGTGTGGCTTTCTTCCTTTGCACAGTAAGCCCCCCACTGATATGAGTCATATCCCCCTCACGTAGGCTTGATGCCGATGGTGTGGCTGTTTAGTACACGTCTGCTATTCGTCTAATTATATTTAATTAGTTTAATAAATCTTAAGATTAGCAACTTTAATTAATGCATTGTTCTTGCAAGTAAGCTAAGCATTATGGTTGGTTATGGATTTGAAATATGACGTAGATCGGTTCTTGACAAAAATGACAAACTTCATTAATTCAAACTCCCCAACTCTAATTTTCTTGTACAAGTGATACTACACTAATTGGATCACTTAACTTGTCACCTAACTCAACCAACACAAAATATAAAGAAAACAATATGGCATGATGACTTTGTGTTTAAACACTTTGTATGATTATATTTCATTTCATAATCTTTAGGAGTTTGTTGTAGTTTGTTTTAGGTTTAGGTTGTTTTTTTATTTAGTTTTTGTTTTTGATACGAATTTGCCCTTACACAACGGATTTGTATTGCATGTTTGAGTACATATGCTTCTGATTGCTAAATCCAAAATTTTAGCTATTCTTGGGTTGTGCGTGATTCTCTCCATATCAAAACAAACACGTTGTTGCATTTGATCATTAGAGAAGATTTACTCATATTCGGAGTATAGTTACTTTGTACTTTTGTTTTATTAATCAATAAAAACTACCACTTATTCTTTATTAAAAAAAAATTTATTTAATGAATTCTTAGAAAAATATAGATTTTGTTAATTATTTTGTCAAATATCAAGTTATTATTATTTGTTTTTTTTTTTTTTTTTTTTTTTTTTTATAAAAAAAATCTCTGGGTGCACTGTAGAAGAGAAGAATGTCTATATGTGCTCCTTCAATTGTATCCAACTGAAAGTTGGCAGTAGTGTCGACTGATTTGACACAATTATTAAAGAATTAGAAAATTCAACACAAACATAAAATAATATAATATAATCCCATACAAATTGCCTCACTTAATTGATTGTGTCAATGGCACAACCAGTAATTTGCGTTGCTCTAGTTGGCTATCATATTGTAAAACGAAAGACTTAAAACCAAATTTCACTTTATCTTCATACTAGCCAAATCATAAAAATTAATCATATGATTCTTCTATTATCCACACAATACCAAATTAAAACTTAAAATAGTCATTTTCTTTCACGTAATCTATATATATCTATATACATAAAGTAAAAGGCAAAGAATTGTGAAACATTCAAAATACCAGAAAATGCCATTGGTTAATTCAAACATTTAAAATTAAAATTATTAGTTAAATGAGGATAATATGGTAAATTCACATTTTTTATATTAAAATTAAAAACAAAATCAAATAATAGCTCATACTTTTATGGAATATAAAACTACCCATATTATCTTTTTTTAATTTTAAAAATAAAGAAAAAAGAAAACCAATTGAGCATGTGCCAAGGGGCTAGTAATCTATATATATAAAGCAAAAGGCAGAGAATGGTGAAACATTCAAAATACCAGAAAATGCCCTTGATTAATCCAAACATTAATAATTAAAATTATTAATTAAATGAGGATAATATGGTAAATTCACACTTTTTCATATTAAAAAAAATTTAAATTAAAAGAAAATTCAGATAATGAATCCTATTTTTATGGAACACAACTACCCATTATCTTTTTTAATTCTAAAATAAATTTCATTTTTTTAAAAAAAAAGCCTCTCGCAGGCGCGGAAGCGCGTGCGGAGAGGCTAGTATATATAAAACAAAAGGCAGAGAATGGTGAAACATTCAAAATACCAGAAAATGCCCTTATTTAATCTAAACATTAAGAATTAAAATTATTAATTAAATGAGAATAGTATGGTAAATTTACACTTTTTCATATTAGAAAAATTAAAATGAAAAGAAAACTCAAATAATGAATCATATTTTTATGGAACAAAACTACTCATTATCTTTTTTAATTCTAAAATAAATTATTATTTTTTTAAAAAAAAAGCCTTTCGCAAAGCGCGTGCGGAGAGGCTAATATCAATTAAGCATGTTTTATGTGTCAAAATTGAGTTATTCATGTTTGACACGTTTTAGAAGTCATAAACCAAAATGAAGTTACATAATGAATACATTACATTATTGGTTATGGTAGTTTGACCAATTTTGGTCCCCATAGTGATAGTCATATATTGTCACATTAAATCTATCAATTCTATCAATTCGTGTTACGGAATTTACGAGTCTATACGGAACTTACGATTTAGATTTTTATTTTTATTTTTAAAATGAATACATTACATTATTGGTTATGATAGTTTGACCAATTTTGGTCCCCATATGTGATAGTCATATATTGTCACATTAAATCTATCAATTCATGTTACGGAATTTACAAGTATATACAGAACTTACGATTTAGATTTGATTACTAGCGAAACTAAACTATATGATTAAAATTGTCAAAATGAAAATGACCAAGTAATCAAAATGAAAAATCAATCAAACTAATTAGACCAAAAAAGTAATTCATCCCCTTAAAAATCTATTAGCAAACCACATTGTATACCACCTCTCTAATAGAGAGGTGATACACAATGTGGTATGAAAGATGTGGTAAGCCTAGCATTTTCCTATAAAAAAAACCTATGTAGCAATTCTATCTAACAAACCTGTCACCCTTTCCTGCTACTATTTGATCAAAAAGGCGTCTAAAGAAACCCAACTGTCATGCTATGTTCTCTAAATGTCGCTCATCTTCAATCCCCGCCGTCCATTTCAAACGACCGTTACCTTTCCCGCTAACCCATCGTCCAGTTTCATTTCAAACCATTACAAACGCCCCAAACCACGCCGACCCATTTCATCAAACGAGCTCATCTTTCTCTCCCAGTCGACTCGGAGCCTTCACGCAAGTTCCCCAGTCGACCCACTTCAATGACCCTCACTCGGCCCATTCCTTCTGCTCCAATGCCCTCAAGGTTTCAGCCAAAATGGGTTTTCTTCGTGAGGGAAGACAACTACATGGGCATGTTGTAAAGTTGGGATTGTATAATGTGCAGTCCTTGCAAATTCAAATTTTGAACGTATACGTCAAATGCAAGGATTTCAATAATGCACAGAGACTGTTTGGTGAAATGCGTAAGAGAAATGTGGTTGCTTGGAACACCTTAATTTCTGGGCTTGTCAACTGTTGGGGTAACTATGAGTCGAAGTTGTATCTGGGTTTTTCTTACTTTAGGAGGATGTTGTTAGAAGCAGTTGGTCCGGATGATATAACATTTAATGGTTTGTTCCGTGTTTGCGTCGATTTAAATGATGTTGAGATTGGTAGACAATTGCATTGTTTTGTCGTAAAATTGGGATTTGGTTCAAATTGCTTTGTGGGTAGTGCTCTTGTTGATTTATATGCAAAGCATGGTTTAATTGAAGATGCAAGGTGTGCTTTTGATTTTGTATTGTACAGAGATTTGGTTCTGTGGAATGTGATGGTGTATTGCTATGCTTCAAATTCTTTGGCCAAAGAGGCTTTTGGGGTCTTCAATCTGATGAGGTTGGAAGGTGTTAAGGGGGATGAGTTTACGTTTAGTAGCCTGCTAAGTTCATGCCGTACTTTGGGTTCTTGTAAACCGGGAAAGCAGATTCATGGGATTATTATAAGAGAGGCTTTTGATTCGGATGTTCTAGTTTCCAGCGCACTTGTTGATATGTATGCGAAGAATGATGACATAGGTGATGCTTGGAAGGCTTTTGATGCAATGTCCATCAGGAATGTCGTTTCGTGGACCACTATAATCGTGGGCTATGGGCTACATGGAAAAGAGAAGGAGGCTATAGGACTTCTGCGTGAAATGTTTCGGGAACATTTGTATCCTGATGAGTTAACTCTGGCTAGCATTGTTAGCTCATGTGGCAATGTATCATCTGCCAGTGAACTTATGCAAGTTCATGCTTACATGGTGAAGTTTGGGTTTCATTTCTTCTCATCAATTGCGAATTCTCTGATAACTGCATATTCCAAATGTGGTAGTATTTCTAGTGCGTCTAAATGTTTCAACTTGGTTGTTGAGCCTGATCTAGTTACATGGACTTCACTGATATGTGCTTATGCATTCCACGGCCTTGCCGAAGAAGCTACGGAGGTTTTTGAGAAAATGTTAGCTTATGACATAATGCCGGATCAAATTGCTTTTCTTGCGGTTCTTTCTGCTTGTAGCCATGGAGGGTTGATACAGAAAGGGCTTCATTACTTTAAACTAATGTCTAATGACTATCAAAATTTTCCAGATTCAGAACATTATACCTGTCTCATTGACCTTCTTGGGCGGGCTGGTCTTCTAGACGAGGCTTTCATGGCTCTGACCTCAATGCCAATCGAACCTGATCCAAGCACCTTGGGAGCATTCATGGGGGCGTGCAAAGTCCATGGAAACATAGAACTAGCAAAATGGGCAGCACAAAAGCTTTTTGCATTGGAGCCAAACAAGCCTGTGAATTATACTCTCATGTCTAACATCTACTCTTCTCAAGGTCATTGGGGTGACGTCTCAAGAGTACGGAAGATGATGAGGCACAGTTGTGATTATAAAGCTCCAGGCTGTACAGAGATCCCCTCGGTCGGAGGTTTGCTGGTTATGTGAAATTCTTCACATCTGGTACACTCTTTCCAAACTCATCTCATTGTTAATATTTTATTTATTTATTTGTTTTGTTTTTGTTTTTAATTTGCTGTTGTTTATTTATTTATTTATTTACTTTATGTAAGAATTTATTTTATTTTTATGTACGAGAACTCATGATAAAATTGGTAGATTTGTAGAAACACCTCAATTAGAACTTGAAGTTGTTTTTGTTTTTGAAAATTTTCTTTTTGACTTGGGATCGTCAGAAATGGCTGAAAATGATGAAAACAATGAACCAATTCCTGAAATTGAAGATAATCATAGTGTTCATAATGAAAATGATGATGCTGGGAATATACACTATGATAATCCACCTGTTAGAACATTGCATGATTATTTGCATCCTACCTGAAGAAGTATGCCATCTTACATTATCTTTCCTATGAATGATAATAATTTTAATTTTAAACTGGGTATGATTCAATTGTTACCAAGCTTTCATTGAATGAGTCTGAAAATCCATATTCACATCACACAATCATATTAAAAGCTTTCTCCCTACCCTTAGCTAGGGAGTTAGTTCCCCATAAAGTTGTGGAGCTTCTGGTGTCTTTTTTCCTTCTACGTCATCTCTATTTATAGAGAATGAGAATTGCTCCAGTTGCAACATTTGCAACTTGCTATGATTAAACTATTATTCCACCTTGCCACCAAGCCAATTGCCATCAAATGCTTCCTTTGTTTATTTCTTCTAGTCCTTGCGGATTCCTCCATATCTTCATCGTTGTTTATGTAAATTTCCTTCCTTCATCATCATTGCCGTATGGATAAGTTGAAGTTCTTTAATTTGCCGCTAGCATATTATATTTGGGTGGCACACTTCCTGACATGATCAAAGTTAATAAAATAACATTAAACTAATTTGACCAATTAAAAATATAATTGCACAAGATTATTTAATTACCCATTATATTTGCTTTGAAATTTAATGTTATACTCTCATGTCTAACATCTACTCTTCTCAAGGTCATCGTGGTGACGTCTCAAGAGCACGGAAGATGATGAGGCACAGTTGTGATTATAAAGCTCCAGACTGTACTGGGTGGAGATCGGCGGCGGCATTTGTACATTTGTTCCAGGTGATGAATCCCACCCACAAGCACCAGAGGTGTATGCTATGCTAGGGTTGTTGCTCAGGCTGATGAAGGAGAAAAGTTTATATCTGTGATGCAGTAGTGCTGTATAATTCTGAATCACCTGACATCTGTGTGTTAGAAAATCATACCATTTTTGCCTGATTGTTGGGCAGTCACATCATTTCACCCCATATAATATCAGTATCAACCCAAAATAAATAATAATTTGATTAAGCTGTCTTCTTCCTAATAAAAGAGGATGTTGGTTGGAAGGGTTTCCTTGAACTTCTGGCAATACTCAACAAACTGCAGAATTCTGTCCTTGAAATTCACCCTCTTGGTGTTGTTGGATTGATATACTTGATTAACTTCTAATCAAAGTGTTTGTAACTTGATCTTTCTTCGTACAAATTAATCCATACCCTAGATACAGAGAATAGTGAATCTCTCGAGCTATAACAACTACAACCGCATTCTCCATAAATACGAATTTGTACGGTAAAATTTCCCAACAAAGAACATACTTTGTTACATCAATTATGTACTACGGATGTGATTGTGACTACACTGTCATCATATCTATCAATTATGATTTGTAATTTTGTTGGGTAGGAGTTGTGCACAAAATAATACTTTTGCTCATATCCAAGACAAGCATGTTTGGTAATTACAATTTACATGTTCCATAAATATAATCTGTCGGGCCAATGTTTTTACACCGACTTGTTCAATCTGTAACCACAGAAATAGAAGCAAAATTTTCAATTAAAAATAATTTTTTTTTATAAATAAAAAATAAAATCGACATTAATGTCCAATTATTTTCATGGTCCTACTCCTTAGCACGCGTCTTTTGAAAAATCAAAGTCTTCTCGTCTCAACTTTCACAGCTCACAACAACTAACCGCCATTTCTACGTCTACGTACCTCTCTCTCTCTCTCTCTCTCTCTCTAACTAAATGAGCCGAAACCCGTCGTACGGACGCCGGCGCCCTAGCTCCGAGTCGCGGAGCACGCCGGACCGGTTTGCTTACTCGCCGTCGCCGAGCTCGTCCTACTCCGTCGCCTCAACCGAAAGGAAGTCAGGCTCCGGCCGGGGCGTGGTCGCAGTCGCCGCCCGCTCCTTCGCTGGAGTCTTCGTCTCATGCTTCACTCCACCGGAGACCAAGAGTTCCGTGAGCTTCGCTGATTCTGCAGAGTTCAGAGCTCCATCTGGTATTCCATTTCTGTAATTCTGTATTTTGACGAGTTTTAGCTGAGTTTGGGAAAAAGTAGAGACTTTTTTAAGATTCTGAGTCACGATCTGGTACTTAAACTTGCTTTTCTTTTCTGGGTTGTGTTTGATTGCTGAGAAACATTGTGGAAAAAGGAAAGAAAAATGAAATTTTAGAAATTTCATGTCTCTACGTTAAGATAATTATCATTAGACTGAGTTTAAAATGGACGTTTCATTTGGTCCTCAAGATTTTTCAAACTTTATATATGTTAAATTCTTGAATAGCGGTTTTCCTTTCATTCACAACATTTTCTCAGCAACCAAACAGCGCAAATGGCGATTATGGATTATTTTTCGAAAATGCTACACAGACGGCAGGGGTCGAAGTTGTTAATGGAATTACAGTGACCAGTTAACCACTTTTTTTTTTATTTGCCTTTATTATTTTTTTATTATGTCGTAGACTGAACAACTTAGTTAATTTCTTAGTATTTTCGGATGCTTCGGGAGCTGGGAGTGAGAGAAGACGTAGTTCAAGTCGTGGCGTCTATGCCAATTCAAACAACTCAAAGCATGAGAGAGAGCCTGGGAATGTAAAGTTCACCATGGAAGAAATAAACAAGGCCACAAAGAACTTCTCTCCCTCTTTCAAGATTGGACAAGGTGGTTTTGGGACAGTTTATAAGGGGAGACTGGAAGATGGGACCTTTGTTGCAATCAAACGTGCTAAAAAGGTTGGGTAGAAGTTATTTACACTAATTTAATTTCTGGTCTTATGATTATTATATGGCTAACAAGTACGTGGTTACCTTTGTTTGCAGAGTGTATATGACAAGCATTTGGGTGTGGAATTCCAAAGTGAGATTAGAATGCTGGCACAGGTGGAACATTTGAATTTGGTCAAGTTCTATGGGTATGTGGAGTATGAAGATGAAAAAGTTGTTGTTGTTGAGTATGTTCCTAATGGAACCCTCAGAGAACATTTGGATTGTAAGTTCTGTTTGTGTACCCTCTCTCTCTCCCTCTCCCTTTGTCTATACTCATGTACATAAGAGCATGTGTCTTTGTGCACTTTTCCTCATTGATGCATGTCCTTGAGAGCCTGAAATGTAATGCAAGGCATAATGCAGGTATGCGTGGTGACATTCTTGACCTCGCAGCACGGCTTGACATTGCAATTGATGTGGCCCATGCCGTCACCTATCTTCATATGTACACAGGTAAGACTCTGGTAGAAGCACAGAAAATAAAAGTTGTTCTGCTCTAAGAGTTATAGAATTTATGTGAGGGGGAACTAACTGGACCATGCTTGGGTTTCCTTGACAGATCATCCTATCATTCATAGAGACATAAAGTCTTCCAACATTCTCCTAACAGAAAACTTCAGGGCCAAGGTAGCTGACTTTGGTTTTGCTAGGCTTGCTGCTGATAGCGATTCAGGTGCTACCCATGTTTCTACTCAAGTTAAAGGAACCGCTGGCTACTTGGATCCAGAGTACCTGAGAACCTATCAACTTACAGATAAGAGTGATGTTTACTCATTTGGTGTACTAATGGTTGAACTAGTTACAGGCAGGCGTCCCATCGAATCAAAACGGGAAATCAAGGAACGGATAACTGCAAAATGGGTGTGAACTCCTTATCCTTATCTTTTTCACTCTTTAATCACATTACTTAACTTCATCTTCGTCAAAAATTCTTTTTTCATTTAAGATCCCTTCCACATATCAACCTACACGAGAATGTAAAGCGCGACTCGGGTTGGTTTTGCAGGCTATGAAGAAGTTTACTGACGGAGATGCTCTTTCAATTTTGGATCCTAGGCTTGAACAGACTGCGGAAAATAATTTAGCCATTGAAAAGATTCTTGAACTGGCCTTACAATGCTTGGCTCCACGCCGACAGAGTCGGCCTAGCATGAGGAGATGCGCAGAGATCCTCTGGAACATCCGTAAGGATTACAGAGAGGTGGCACCTCCAATCTTCCGTTCGTTTTCCTCTCGTTCACAAATGAGCACTTAAACATGACAAGAGTGAGAGCCTGAGGACTCCCCATGGAATGTAAAGGTTTACTAGGAATGGGAAAACCAAGGGGCCTGGGTTTTACAAAGAAGCAGCATACAGTAAATGCATGAGCAAGTTGAGTAGGAAGCCAAATAAATTCTTGAAAAATAGATATGAAGCCGTCACTTTGAAACAAAAAAACACAATCAGCTTGTTTTGATACCCAAGGCAATTTGTTAGGTTTGGTTTGTGTATAGAACAGCCAGATCAATAGGAAATCCTGATTTCGAGTGTACTTTGGTTTATTGCTTTTGTCTAAGGTATTGAAAACGATATGAGTGTATTCTTTTAATTAGGGCCAAATATATTTTTTATTTACTGTCTTTTTCTTTGTCACCATCTCTTCCAATTTCATAAAAGTTGTGGTTTGTGTCGTTTTATACAATCTTTTGGTCCACATGGCCGTGCAAGACGACTCATTGAGGCGGTGACAATCAGAAGAGTTTCAGGAAGACTTGATCTAAATTGACAAAGCAAAAGCCAAGTCAAAAAGACTTATTCTGAACTGCTCTGTTTTCATAAAAGATCTAAAAAAGAAAGTCATTTGAGAAATATCCCTTTTTTATAATAGCATGACCAAAAATCGCACTCATCTTTGTCATTCATGTAACAATTTTCCACCCAGGGCCTACAATAACATTTCTCATCTGCCCCCAAACTTATACTACTGCCTATGTACACAGAAAGATATTCACAAACCATCTCCCAAAACATTTTACCAAGAAAGAAAATGGGGGCCAGAATTTCATGAAAAGCAAATGCCTTTTAATTGGTTCTCAAGAAAATTGCTTCAGGGATGCAATCGGACAAGTCTTCATCTCTTTGCAGCAAATTCTCACCTTTTTCTATAAACAAAAAAATTTCATTTCTTTCCTCTATAACCTTAACTCTGCAAAAATGCTCTTACTATTCTTCCGCTTTTTATTGACCTCTTGGAAATGAATCCTGTCGAGTCAACTCATAGGCTCCATTCGGGAGTGTTTGATTCTCCGTATCTACCGTACTTGCAGTACTTGCTTTTGAGCAAAGGAAGAAGAAGGAAGATGTATATATTGTGATATGCCAAATGCTGCAGATCATTTTATGCACCAATCATGAGAGAGAGAGAGAGAGAGAGAGAGAGGAGAGAGAGAGAGAGAGAGAGAGAGAGATTTTCATTATATGTACCTGTGCCAAACCCAGTAGCTTTCACTGCTCTCCAGTATCCAACTAATTACTGCCATGGCTAATGCAGTTACACCTGCAAGTACAAAGCCCCAGCGAAATCTTCTAACAATCGTCTTAAAAAGATTCTTGAGCCACCCCCTAACTGCTTGCAACCTGTGTAATCCTTGGTAGTTTAGAAAACGAAGTGGAATAGATAATCACAACTACAAAATTGGCACCACAAAATTTCTATTATACTTAAGGGCAAGGGGGTATCCGCAACTTATCCAGTAGGGCTATAAACTCAAACGGGGTTTGAGCTCATTGAAGATGCCTGCTCAGTCCATGCTAATTCAAAATAACATCTAAATGTTGGAAGGATTGCTTTTATTATAATTCTTCAGTCATAAATTGACAGTGAGGTATATCATATGTGTGCACAAAATTTATGGCATTGGTCGTTCAAAAATGAAATGTAAGTAGTAGAGAAAAAGAAACTTATTCCACAAATCAAATTAATGTACTTAACAAAAGTCTTGAGGGTTTCTTTTTTAATGTATTGATTGCATATTTAGCTGAAATAAATAAATTTTCTTGGCAATGCTTAATGATTGATATAGTTAAGAAACCCACCTCTCATGCATATTTAAGGAGAATCTGATCGAAAAGGAAAATGACCTACACTTGGTTGACAATTCTACCAGCCATCCAATAAGAAGAGCCACAGTGCCAATTGCCATTACAAGAATAATGTTGGCTGGCCTGCAAAGTTCAACATGGTTAGATGCATGATTTAAAATGCACTGAATCTTATGTCCATCAACCGAAGGTACCTGGTGGCCTTAGTATATGCCATAAGGGCAGTAAGGATTGCAACGGCTGTGTGTACTGCCCTCTTAAGATCTTCATCGAGTGTACCTAGGTACACAAATGTGCTCACTACGGCCATGAACGAAAGCCAGAAGTCCATGAACTGAAAATTCAAGATAACTAATCAATATTATTCTAACTACAAACAACAAGAGAGAGAGAATTCATACTGTGGCAACTAAGCATCATGGGGTGAGAGAGCGAGAGAGAGCTTTAGCACAATGTAAATTACTGCTTAATAATACGGATCTCACTCTCTATCACACGAAAAAACCCATCTCTTAAACGATTGAACACTAACTTCAAATACCCCTACGCATTTGCCATTATTTTGCACATTCTGTTCTCATTGTTTATTCTATTTTACTAGTGTCTTCACAAGTTTGTAACACCAAATCTTTGAGAATATTATCTTTCTATAATATGTAAAACAAATGTTTGACTCGGGTTGGGCACAATTTCGGGTCAACCCAACCAAACCGACCGACCCAATTATAAGAGGTTGGGTTGGCCTAATAACGAGAGGTCTTGGGTCCAAGAAATCATAAACCGCTATGTATGAGTTGGGTTGGGGTTAGGACCAAAACCTAGGGACGGGCACAATTTTGAGTTAACCTAACCCAACCGCCCAACCCGATCACAAGAGGGTTGGGTTGGTTTGGGTTGGCCTTGTAATGAGCGGGTCTTGGATCCAGGAAATCACAAACCGATATGTTTGGGTTGGGTTGCGGGTTGAGACAAAAACTGACCCAACCCAACCCATGCCCACCCCTAGGTTTGACCATAATTATATCTTTAAGAAAGGAAAAGAGAGAAAGAAGTGCACCTGTAAAACTCCAAAGCCCAGAGGACACCAGGTTCCCACATCACATGCATGATATATTCCACTTGCAATTCCGCTAGATGTAAATATTATCCACTCTGCCAATGCCTATATATAGAAATCATGGTCTCCTTGTCAAAAAAAAAGAAAAAAGGTTTCCAGTTGGATAAGTAGTTGAGGTTCAATTATCAAAGAGTTGGTACAAATACAAGAAACCTACCCTGGTATCACTAAAAAAATAAAAAATTACTGAACCTACTTGAGTTTTCATAATCACCAGACCTCACTGTTGTTTTTCAAATATAAGAATTCACTCTCGTTGGTATCAGTTCAAACTCCTTTTAAGATAATCTAATGGGAAAAACTGTTCACTTCAAGGAGTATTTCTTATATAAGCCAAAGTATATTATTGCTTTTTGTTTCAAGAAGTCTTTAGTTATTGTGAATCAAATTCAAAGATAAGTTAAAAGAGCATTACCTTCTGTCGAAGGGCCCAAAAGGCAGGAAGTGCTGCTGCAGCATTTGACGCAATAAGAAAAATTGATTGCCATACGTGCCCTATGCCAATTTTCAGCCAGAGAAATAGGTAAAAGAACAATTGTTGAGCATAATACTGACTCGTGGAACTAGTTTGCAATGTGATTAATATCTATGTTAAATAAAATAAAACCACTTCAACGTCTTTTTTTTCTTTCTAAGTATTGTCTCACGTAGCTAAGAACTATGGAAAGTTAACACGGCCCTGAAGTAGTTTGATCGATCAATGGAGGGCATTCATCGAGTCCGGAGGGCAACAAAAGTTAACAAAAAGTCAACAAAGGGAAACAAAAGTCAACAAACACCAGTTGCCTAAACAACAATTTCATATAAATGTGACATAACACATACCATGATGCGATACAAGTTCAATGCTACAGTCAAAGCCTCCATGGTCTCGATCACATGAGCAGTAGCTGCGAGAAAAAAAAATTATGTTACCAAATCATACTGATCATAGTGACTCTGGAAAGATTACAAATCTAGGTGTCAGCTATCTCTCCAACAAAGAAATTTAAAACAAAAACATTCGACAAAATTAAATTTAAACATATTAGATAAGAAAAAAACATAAGGGTAGGGTTGAACATAAACCTGTATGTTGTTAATCCACTAACATCTAAGCTAGTATCGCATCTCCCATGTGAGGAGCATCGTCTTGGGCATCTTTCAAGGGAAATAGACATGGTAGTCTGAAATTTGGACACACCACTGGTGGTGTTGAGATGCCTTAGTCCAAAACCCCAAGTACCTTCTCTAATATACAAAATGTAAAAATCAACTTTGTTTTCACTTGAATTATACAAGTTGAAAAACATGGAGCCAACACTACTGCTTGTTTTGTTGGCAAAATAATAGTCCCAGCTAGTAAGAGATGGTAATCCGCCAAATCTAGCATATACTTCATAATTAATTTTTGCATCTGACACTAATCGAATGTGGATATTTCCTCCAGCTGCACCACGAGGAATGTCCAAAATAAAGTAAGTCCATGTTTCGTCTGGTTCTCCATGAAGCGAAGAATTGGTTAAAAGCGAATCAAGAGGAAAATTGGCTGAATCAGGAGACACTTTTTCACTGACAGGTAAATAATAGGATTCAAAGTAGCCTGAACCTTTCCTCAGAGCCGTCTGCAGACAACCATTTTCAGATTGTCAATAAATAATTCCTGCCAATAGGTTTCTTGAAGCATCAAGATAAAGATAAAATACTGCAGCAATTAATCTATTTGTAAACTCTCTTTAAAGAGAAACTAAAGAAAACCATTTTCAGATTGTCAATAAATAATTCCTGCCAATAGGTTTCTTGAAGCATCAAGATAAAGATAAAATACTGCAGCAATTAATCTATTTGTAAACTCTCTTTAAAGAGAAACTAACATGAATAAGAAAATCTAAATTACATAAATTCATCTAATATGGCAACATGCAGAATGTTCTTTGAAACCCATTTTCGAAACATTGTTCAAAGTAGCCTGAACCTTGGCAAAAAAAAAAGTACCGCCATGTTATCGATACATTATTGACAATATCAACACAAAATACATCCAAAGGTCAGATGTCCTCCTCAGAAAATTTCTGTATTGTGGAATCAAACAAATAATCTAGTACTTTAAAGAAATTAATATTTTCCAGAACTTTCACATAAGCAGAAACGCATTTATCAACAAACTCACCTGAAGGTTGTACATTTCCCTTGTACAATTTGCTCCAGCCTTTCCCACTGGACATTCAAGCAGTTTTGATTCCATGGAGTAGCAAACTTTCATGTCAGTATCTGAACTCCCTCCAAGTTCTTTTGAGAGGTTGACAGGTAAAATAGTAATGTACCAGCGACCAACCTTTGGAAAGTGTATGACTATTGGGGATTTGTTTATATTACTGGAATAGTCATTCACAGTTTCTGAAGGTATTGCACCATGCCGTGCAAAACAAATTAAATTAATACCACTGGCATTCTTGCTTTTATTCGATGACGTTTCATTTAACCAAACATCAATTGCAACAATTTTTAACTCTTGTGATACTCCCACTACATCCAAAGAGTAGAATTTTGGCTCTCCATCTCTATGACAAGAAGTGTCAAAATTGTTTTTGCACAAAATCACATATTCAATTGTCTGGTTGTAAAAACCAGCTTCTGAAGAATTGTCTGCAGGACTGAAGCTGTCAGATAGAGCACAAGAAAGTGGGTTTATTGTCTGATTGCAGTCTGGGCCCCACATGGTTAGGGTTGTACATCCTTCCACGGTGATGTTGGCACTGAAGGAGTAAGCTGGAGCACGATTAATCTGCAATGTTAGCATCATAGACTTAATTAAGTATTCAAATTAATGTAAGTTTCATGATTATACAACAACCTTCACTGAAAAACAGAAATAAATAGATAAACTAAAAAAGAAAAACCAAAACTACAGTCTATTAGGATTCCTTGGAACTGGCATCCGCAGAGACGGGTTCATCTTTCAGATATCAACTTTAAGAAATAGTTTGTGGACTTTCCATCATTTCACTACCAATGCAACAAAAAGTTGCACTTGAGCAGATTCTAATGCCTTCTATGGGGTACCAAAATACAGCTCCTATTAACTCAACATGAACAACCACTCAGATTCTAATGCCTTCTATGCAGAGGCAGGTTAACTTTTCAGATATCAACTTCAAGATATAGTTTTTGGACTTTCCTTCATTTCACTACCAACACAACAAAAAGTTGCACTTGAGCAGATTCTAATGCCTTCTATGGGGTACCAAAAATACAGCTCCTATTAACTCAACATGAACAACCACTCAATTAGCTTCAACTTCTGAAGTGGTTTTGTTTTTCACACAATTTTATTTTTGAGCATGAATACCGTGCACATTTCCCTATTACCTGTTCATCACGATGTTGATATTTATATAATAAACAATAGAAAAGAAAGAAAAATTATTGGCCCTTTTCATCTTCCAATACCACGCATTTTGCTTCTTATATTATTTTGATGAGAGATGGGATCAACATAACTAGACTTCCCAAAAGGCATAGAATAAAACAAAACAAATGTAAAACATAAAGTGGTAGATATCAGAAACAAGGGATAAAAATAATGTAAAAAATCTAAGGATAATAAAATATACCATCTTTGATTGTGTCCTTGTAGGTCCAATGCCATTGAAAAGACCAAAATACCAAACTCCTGGAGAAATCTGAACAACAGTTTCGTAAGACCCACAAATATATATATTTTTGGGTATATAGAAAATAAATTTTTTACCAAAAACAAGAAAAGAATGATGAACGAACTACCGAATTGTTCCATCAGCATATTCCCTCTCCAATATTATATATTTAACTTATGATACAAAGAATAAGTAAAGGAATTGACGATAGACCTGCTCATTTGTCAACTTCACTGTAAATTTTTTTTGCATGGGATAGCACTGCTCTGAACTCTGAAGAGCTTCTATTCCCTTAAATGAACCATTGGAATGGGGAACTAGAACTGCCATAGTAGAATATCCATTCAATAATCCTTTCAATCATAATTCAAGTAGGATGCACAACTGAAAATCTAAATGCATCTAAACTAAAAAACAGTAGTTTGCAATAGTCAAACAGATTGTTTAAGTATAACAGCTGTTATTTATTGATTAAGCAGACGCATTCTGATGCATTCATGTTAAGTAATAGTTGAGAAACAATGTCGGGTGCACGAACTGTAGCTGATTAACCAGAGACCTGTGACCAAAGCACATAAAGTACTAGAAAGGAACCATTTTGCCATAATGACTCAGCAAGTAGAACCTTTGGGAATTCGTAATGCCAATTCGATGAAAAGGAAATCAATCATGGCAGACTTTGCAGTCTTGACTCTCCTGAGGTATAGCTATATGTCAAGTTAAGCTCTCGTGGAATACTTTTGACATGCATGTTGATCAGAAATGTAATATTACGGGATACAAAGCACTAGATCGAGCACAAAGTCAAAGAAGTATGCATATGGATGGAGACTATAGAGTAATATTTGTCCACACACACTTCAGTTTAATCCAACCCTTTATCTAAATCTAGGAGAGATTACCTGAATCCATTAGTGAACTGTTGACATCCGGCAGTGGGGGGCTACCATCTCTGAAGCAAATCAATGGCAATGTACTTTTAGGAACCTTTGCTATGTCTCCAGTAGCCTGAGAATAGTATGAACCATGAGCAAGGATGCAAAGTAATCAAAATGTATTAAATGATAATTTTGATGGATCTAGAGGCTTGTTTCATAGCAAAACTCCAATTTCATTAATACAATGTAACAGTGAAAAAGTAAAGTGCATATGAATAGAAAAGCAATTGGGGAAAAAATAAATCCAGAAAACAACTTTCATTTGGGAATCAACTTTCACAAAAGGAGAAGTGGAAGATTTAAACCCTGATAGACATATACTTACACGGTGTACGTCCGAGTTCATTGCCACTGACATTGACGAGAACCATGGTGGCAATTCAACTAGAACAAGGCAAAACACGAAAACCAGTAAGATATTGTGCAATTAACGATTAGATATAGGATGCTGAGTTTAAAATAAAACTGCCATTTAAACAAATCACTCATCACATGATAATCGACATACAAATAAAATACTGAAATAAGCTTGCTTGTGATTCAACCAATCCCAAGCCAAGAACCAGAAAGATATATTTTCCAGACTTGGTTTCAAACATCATCACAGAAAAAAGTTAAGAACTTTTCAAACAAAACAATCTCAAAACTAGAAACATAGTATAATTAAACAACAGTAAAACCAAAATCAATACACTTACAAAAATTCCCACAACTCTTCAAATAAATAAAAATTCAACATTTTGTCTACGACCCATCAAATATTAAACCCCATACTCCTTCCCAAACCATATAAGAACCAAATGAATCAATCAAACTTCTAAAAGGGTTATTGAAAAGCTACTCATTCACCTCTAATATAGCGGAACCCAGAGGGCCCAACCGTGGTTGGTGGGTAGCTAAAGCTGGAGACAGTGAAGCTATTGTACGGACCCAGTTCGCCATATGAACAACAACGGCTAATGAAGCATAAAAAACACACAAAAGGTCTGAGATTCAAATAGGAAGAGGGACAAAGAATCGAATTCGAAGCCATAGAGCTTCTGATTCTTGGAAGAGACGGGCTTACTATTTATTAAGAGTACTTATATTCAAATACTTTAGTATAGTCAATTAGCGGTCGTTTAAATGGTAAATTGAGGGAGATTTGTGAGTGGATGCCTTTGACTTGTCTTAGTCATCCATGGCCACCGGTCTGTTTTTATTTTCCGTCTTCTTTCTTTCCTAAAGTTTTTAGACGGTGAGTTGAAATCACCAAACGCTATAAATTAGCGTTATAGAATTTTTTGTCCTTAATTGTCAAAATAAAAAGGTTTTATTGTCCTTAGAAGGTGTGAGTGTGGTTATTAAGGACTTGTTTGAAAATAATTTTAAATAAGCCAAAATTATTAATAGAGCGTGTTTCTTCATATATCATTTCCAGTGATTTTGGATGTGTTTCTCCATAAAATAACTTGATTCTCCGTAGAAGTGATCTTTGTATATCCAAAACTACTCCCAAAGAAGCCTAAATCTATTATTTAAATTGTTGATGTGGGTTGTTTTCTTTTCTTAAATAATATAGAGAAAATAAATTTTGTCCGTGAAAATTAAATAGTTTTTAATCTAATAGTACTTATATATTTGTTTGAGGAGATTTCAAACTCTATGTGATAAAACAAACAAAAAATTGTTTCGTAATTAATTTCTAAAATGTAAAATATTAATATGTATCCAAATAAATTGTTTATTTGATGATAAGTTTAGTGAGACTAGCCTTATGGTTTCTTTCAACAAATAATTGAGTTTGTACTTTCCAACAAAATAATTGAGTGTGCAATAATAAAGTAGGTATGCATAATAAAGATAATCTTCTTCTCATTTCGGTAAATAATCAAAGATGTATTATTTTATTACAATAATTATAAGTGGTTACAAATGCACGTCAAAATCACAAGATCTTATAAATAAAAAAAGAGGACACGCACTTGAATTCAGCCGTCGGATAGAGAAATAGACACCACACATGGAATGCATCTAGAAAACAAGAAATAAATAGTATAGTTAATTGGAATTTCGTGATGCGTGCTAAGAGATAACTGGTTACTCTCTAAAGAGCAAAGGATGGTATGATTTATTAGTAAAGCTCTTGTGATGCATGCTTTCCCATTATATTTTTCCAATTGTGTGGTCTATTTTCTCATGTATGCTTAAGTTTTTATTTTAACACAAATAGTATAAACTTTTTATTTATTTATTGGAAGAGCGATAATATTTTATTGATAGGAGAATAAGCTACCAGTATAAAAATGGGACTATGTCGTCAAGGATTATGCGAGTTTCTCTATACATACAGGTTCAGTCGTTGATCTAACTGCGTAGCTTATCCACTCAATTACAAGAATGAAAAGTAGGTAAAATATGTGCAATCAAAATAAACTTTAAATGGGAGTATATGTGTGAGTTTCTCAAGATGTGTGTTGTGTAAGTGCTCCCATTTTTTAATGCAACCATGCTATCTTTACTAACTTTTCCCCAACAAAATTTGACTTTAGGGTGTGAACGTTTTTGTATGTCATGGATGAATTACGATACTATCGTCAAGGAAAGAACCACTCTTAGACTACCATGCAACTTATGAACAAACTACAAATATGGTGCTAATTGTTACAAAGTCCTGTACACCTAATGAAAATTAACCCACACCACCTTAGTAAAGATTGTTCCACTCCGACGAAGACAACTCACAAGATAAACACAATCTTTTTTTCCTACCATTGTCAAATTTATGGTCCTCCCCTGCCTTTCGCAGTATCTCCTCACTTGTTAGTCACATGATTAATTTAATATGATCGGAGCGTTATATACATCGTAAAGCACATAATAGTTTCCCAATATTAATAACGACCAACAAATGCAAAAAATTATTGACTGCGATGATCACATTGGTGTATAGGATTTTTCCAAAAGTGGTATCAAGACTCTTTGTAGACAGTACATCACACAAGTACACTTGTCAGAATCGTACATAAGAATCTCCAAACAAACTTCAAGACAGAAAAAAAACACTCACAACGTTGTGCTCTGTGCATTAAAATCTCCGCCCCTAAGCTAGGAATAAAAATACTCAATAAACAAAACAACCATGGCCCCCCACATCTAAATTCTCTCTCCTTGTCTGTTTTTTTTTGTTCTCTCTCTTTCATTTCTGAGATCAAAACGGTCAAACATTAGAACTTCACACAAAGACACAGGCAGAGGCTCTGTTTTGTTGGTCTCCCTCCAAAGAAAAACAACAACAAAGTCGCAGAGTTGAGAGAGAGAGAGAGAGAGAGATGAGTATGATCGATTGATCACGAGGGTTGATGCAATATGCAAGAAATACGACAAGTACGACATAGATAAGCAGAGGGAACTCAACAACGTTTCTGGGGACGATGGATTTGCTCGTCTATACGGCGCCGTCGAGGCTGACCTCGAAACAGCTTTACAGGTCTCATTCTCTGTTCTGTTCTGTTATCTTTTTTTTTTCGTAACAAAATATGCATTGTCTCTGGCTGGCTGGCTGCTGAGAAACCTGAAAGAAAGAAAGAGAAAATAAATGGAAATTGAAAATCTAATCCCATGTTTCATGTATGTAGAGGTTTGCAGTTTTAGTAAACTCTGAGAAATGGAGCTCCTTTTTTTATCCCACAAATTTACTCTGTGTTTAGTTAAATTGGAGCTTTATGTTTGGATTAATATGACTTATGTGTATAATTCGTTGGTATTGTAAGAAATCGGAGATGGTATCAACCGAGAAGAACAGGGCTACTGCTGTTGCTATGAATGCCGAGATTCGAAGGACAAAGGCTCGTTTGCTTGAGGAGCTCCCCAAACTGCGAAGACTTGCCCCTAAAAAGGTTTGATGATCCTTTCTCATTTTGTTATTGACGAAATGCTTGTATCTTTGTTTGATTGTTCAAATAGGTCTCTTTACTTAATTTTTTTGCTTGGTTTTCAAGAAATTTCCCAACTTGCTATTAGTTTTCGATCCAAAATACTCTTTTTGGCTTGAGATGAATTACTTGGTCCGGTTGTCACTCGCATTGTTTGGTTAGAAAGTTTGCGTATCATACAAACTAAAGACTGAAATCTTTTCAATTGTACTATTGGGGTTGCATTTTGTGGTTAATTTTAGACTTAGCATATTTTGGTCTGCTGATACTTTAAGAATTACAAACGCTAATCATGCATAGGTGAAAGGGCTTTCGAAAGAAGACCTCGTTGCTCGGAGCGATTTAGTATCTGTACTGAAGGAGAGGATAGAAGCAATACCAGATGGATCAACAAGTGGAGCTAAACAAACTGGTGGTTGGACAGATTCAGCCCCATACGCAGGAATCAAAATTGATTCGACTTCAGGTAATCAATCAGTCTAGGTTGTTATTATTGTTTCCGTACGGATTAGAGACTTAAACCATTTTTAGCTTATTTTAATGCCTGCACTTAAACTGTATCAGATGGGAGATATGAGACTGAGTACTTTCAACACACTGAGGAGTCGGATCGCTTTAGGCAGGAGTTCGAAATGCGAAGAATGAAACAGGCAAGTATCTGTCATTGAAATTAAAAATCTTGTTTGAGGAAATTGAAATTCTCATTCTAATTCACATGCTTAACAAGGGGATGGAATGAAGCTCCTGATGTAATTTTTTTTTTTAATTGCGCCATTTGGTTGAAGAACTCTCAATGCAATAGGGCTTTGGAAATTTTAGGTCATTTTTGTTCAACTTAGTTGGTGCTGAAAATCCTTACATGGGAGATCAATTTGACTTCATACAGGATCAAGGTTTAGAAGTTATAGCAGAAGGATTGGACACATTGAAAAATATGGCCGGTGACTTGAATGAGGTTAGTTCATACCATTAGCCAGTCACCTTTTTTTATAATTATAATTATAATTTTTTACGGTGATTGTTTTAATTATATATATTTTCTGTACAGGAAATAGATAGGCAAGTTCCCTTGATGGATGAAATAGATGATAAGGTAAATCCTCTGTCTTTTAATTTTCTATTATTTTTCTGGATGAGGTGTTTTTTCGTTCCGGTTCTTCATAGAGATATCGTTATTTCGTTCCAATTTGTCATAACATTATAAGATCATCCTTTAAAATCTCTATTTTAATTACATTGAAATCGTTCCAGGTTGACAGGGCAAATGCTGACCTTAAAAATACTAATGTGAGACTCAAGGATACCATAATCAAGGTAAATATGCGTTGTGCATTTTTTTAATTCAATTTTAATAGGAAGCAAGGAAAGCTTTGGTTGAGCAAAACACCCCTCTTTCTGCCTTTCACCTCTTCACACCCTTACAATTTTGTTTCAGCTGAGGTCCAGCAGGAACTTCTGCATCGATATCACCCTCCTGATTATAATTTTAGGAATTGCAGCCTATTTGTACAAGTAAGTTTGATCTGTTTGCTGCATTACAAGTCTGACCAGGTTTTTTTCGTTGCATCGATACCGTCTTCCTGTGTTACATTTCTCAGTATGTAGCCTAGAACCACAGAAAACCAAACTAAAAAATTATGTGATTTTTATATTTATGCTTCTCTGTTGCAGTGTCTTGAAGTGAATTAGGTGATCCAGCAACTATTTCCAGGAGTTCTCTACTTCCGTGATTACGGATAAGAGAACCGTATATGAAGATTTCATCTCATACGGCTCAAACAGAAATACCCAAATACTAGTTCTAACGGATATGTGTGTAATAGAAAGTTTGAAATTTCTTGCCCATTTATTTTGGAATAATCCTTTCAGGAGGGACAATTTTAGAGGTTATATCAATGTGTGGCGTGAGGTTTCTATGTGTATATGAGCTTCCCTCGTCCAATTTTATATCAATGATACTTGACCCTAACTTTATACGTTTCCTTAAATAACCAGTCTTAGCAAAACATTGCAAAGGAATGCCATTTGGAAGGGTATATTAACCTTCTGTTTTTGTTTTCTGTTTTCCAACATGATATTTTATACAAAAATCCGAGCATCTCCAAGAAAGTATGCAAATGAAATAGGCAAAATTATACTATAACAACTTAGGCGGCATGTTGCCTACCCATTTGTCTCATGAAAAAAGTTAGTTACTCCAAGGGACTAGCCAATGCAAGTCTAGAAACCATTATTATATTATTTATTTTTATCTTTTATATTTACTATTATATTTTATAGAAAGTAGATGAGAGAGTGAATATGATATTATATTATAAAAAGCAAGTGGGGCCCAATATACCTCTTCACTTTGAAGTAGGCTATATTGCCTTGTTGGGGAGAAGTATGTATATTTTGCCTATCCAATTGCCTCTTTCTTTGGAGCATGAAAATGCTGATGTGACAAGGCAAATGAGGTTTGCCGACTCTTTTGCCTCTTTCTTTGGAGATGTTTAAAGGGAGTATGCAAATGAAATAAGCAAAATTGTACTATAACAATCTAGGTGGCATGTTGCCGACCCATTTGCCTCATGAAAAATATTGATCACTCCAAAGGATTAGGCAATGTAGTGTACAATTATATTTTTTTTATAAAAAATTGGTAAAGAGGGGCCTAAGCCCAAACAACACTTATATTATTTATTTTTATCTTTTACATTTACTATTATATTTTATAGAAAGTATGTGAGAGAGTGGAGATGATATTTTATTATAAAAAACAAGTAGGGCCTAATATACCTCTTCACTTTGAAGAAATCAATTGCCTTGTTGGGGGGAGTGTATATTTTGCCTACCTATTTGCCTCTTCCCTTGGAATATGAAAATGCTTATATGACAAGGCAAATGAGGTTTGCTTACTCATTTGCCTCTTCCCTTGGAGCATGAAACTGCTTATATGGCAAGGCAAATGAGGTTTGCCTACTCATTTGCCTCTTCCCTTGGAGATGCTCTTAGAGAGCCTGTTTGGAGAGAAAATCTTCAACTAGTCACTAGTCATTTTCTAATTGGTTGTAAAAAAAATAAAACACACTAAGAACTAATTAGAAAATGACAAGTGGCTAGGTAAGAATTTTTCTTGCCAAATAGGCACTTAAGAGTTTTTGTATAAGATGTCACTACAAAAAATCTATTAATTTATTGGTACCCAACTTAAAAATAATAGTGATATGATATCATGAGGAATTTATGGATCAATAAACAAGTTTTTTTTGTTTTTTTTTCAAACGAATAAACAAATGCTTGATCTTCCAAAGACTAGCTGGTGGTTGTTTTATCATAAAATTAATCCTAAAAAAAATTGTTGCCTAGCTGTAAATGCACGTGTCGATCAGTAGGGCTGTTGATTAAGCCCAAGCACTTCAGGCCAAGAGGGCCGTTGGAGAGTCCATTTACAATTTGATTTTGAGCGGATTTTTGCAACACATAGAAAGGTAATCCTGTAAAAATCTACATTGAGTTCATTGAATTGATTTTACGATTTTAAGGTAGATCCTGTAAAATTCCTATAAAAAATAGTAGACCCGGCAAATTTATTATTTTATTTTAAAGGGAGCTGATTTTTTCACTCTTCTTTTGTCCACTTATACTTCCTTTGTTGAAAATGTTATGTTCTCACTCCTCGATTGTCTATTTACACTCCCTTGTTGGAAATTGTATGATAAAAAGTATTTTAAAAAATAAAAAATAAAAAGAATTGTAAGTAAATAAAAGAGGAGTGAGAATTCAAACTGACATGATTAGGTGGGTTGTGAGTATTAACCAATTTACGATCTCCTTTTATCAATCAATTAAAATTATTCAGGCAAATTAGGGAAAACTAAACTCTCAATCCTATGCGTAAAAAGTGTCAAAAGCTTAGCAAAAATGACCACACATTAACATAAAAACTTTTTAGTGACTTAAAATGTTTGTTTTCCTTAACCAACATGACATTATCACGTATTAAATTTCATAAATTTTAAGTTTAACTAATAAGTCATAAAAGATACTAATTTTTTCCTAAACACACTCAAATAATATTTAATCCAATTTAACAAAAAATGTGCATAATAAATAAAAATATTATGTAAAGTGTAATGCATTTACACTCGCAACTAATATATCACTGTAAGTCTATCAATAATTGTCCGTTACTCAGTTTTCGTAAAAAAAAGAAGTGTGTGTGCAGTGACGGACTCAATATTTTGTCTATATGGGGGCATGGTGGGTTCTGGACTAAATTGCATGAACAAATTTTGCTATTTAGTGGCCTAAATGGGTTTTTGTGGGGGCTAAAACAATTAATAAGTAGTACTTTGGACCTATTTTGTTGTATGAGAGCTTGACAAGTTCACTGAAGTGTACGCAGATGCCCACAGTTGGCATTGAGTAGTTCTGCCAATGCAGGATGAGGGATGAGAGAGAAGTAGAAGGAGATAGAGGAAAAGATGGGGAAAGAGGAAGGGGTAGAGAGAGAATGAGGGACATGTTGGCGCCAGCAGAACGAGATGGGGGGTTTTGATTCATAGGGAGGTGGGGCCGCTGGTTTCGTTTCCCAAATTTTAAAGGGTAAAACTGATGTGGGAATGCAAAAGGGGCTATGATCAACAAATTTGGGGTGTTTGTAGCTCTAGATTTTCTTTATGTTCAAGCCATCTTTGAAGATCTTCTAGGGTAAACAAAAAACCTTTAAAATAAAATATGTGAATAAAAACATATTAAGAGTCGATTTAGGGGAATCCAACTAGTAATGACCTCTTGTTAGACAATCATATAACTGGTGTTGTCATATAACGAATATGACCGTGCAATTAGACATGATTACATTCACCTAATCTTCAATTCCAATTCACATTTTGATAATAACATGCCAGATTGTCTTGAGAAAATTCGTCAAACCAGCAATATTTTACATTTTCGTAGAGTAAGTTGTTTATATTTTAAAACAAGTTTCGTTTCATAATTAATTTTGCGACGTTTATATCTTCTTGGTTTCCATACAAAATTGATAATTCTAATGGAAAATGACACGTGTGTGTTCTTGTCGGTTGACTATTACAAGTTGTTAGAAGAGTCCAATTAGTAATAACCTCTTGCCAGACATTATGTAAGCTGTTGTACAGTGAATATAACCGCACTTCTAGTCACGGTTTCACCTAGTGAACAACTCTAATTCAAAGTACCACAATTTAAAACGCCAGACTGTGTTGAGAAAATTCATCTGAATCCAGCAACCATTTACATTTTAGGATAGTAAATTATAGAAACCCTAAACACATTTCATTTTCATCATTGATTTTGTGAAATTAAATGTCTCCTTGCTTCCTCTTTCTTAAAAGGTGATACTTTTGATGAAAATGAAACATGCGTTTTCTTTGTGGGTTTAGGCAGCCTATTCTATTCCAATGTCCAGACACCTTTCTCTTACCCTTTCTCCTCATTCAAATGATATGATAACATACAAGAACACAATATTTACAATAAATAAAATCGTATTATAAATTAGGTATAATTTTGAATAATAATAAAAACTAATATATACTAATGCATGCGTGTAACTCTGTTGAATTAGGGATTTGCTTGTAAATAATTCAACGTTATATATCGGGAAAAGACCAACTGAAAGTCACTTAGGATGTTTGTTTACGTTTCACGTCACTTTCGAATAACAATAACCTGAAATTTGCTTACATACAAAAATAAAATAATTACGTACGAATTTTTTATTTTCTATTTAAAAAAAAGAGAAGGAATTTGTTTAAAAAATCATGTGAAGACTGTGAACCTGAACGGGCCGCTCTCTAACCACACCACCACGTGGCGCAACCAAAATGTGGGCCACCAAATTCTGTGTACTTTGCATGGAGATAATTTCCCAAAAAAGAAAATAACTTTTTTTTATAACTTTTTTTTTAAAAGGGCGTGATTTTTATGAGTTTATATTCTTTCATCATTAAGAATCTCTCGTTCGGCCACATCACACCGAACATATAAACCGCTGGAAATTACGAAACGGCCCTTTCATTTTTAAAACTTTGACTAACACAATGTTTGAGTACACCCACTCACACTCTAACAAAGCTCTCTCATTTCTGTCATGTACCGGAGAGGGACTATGCTCACCCGCGACAAAATGCAACGACATGTGCAACTAAATTACCTCTAATTTCTGTGAACCCTAAACACCCCCGTCGCCCGTCCCCCTCACCCCTCACCCCTCACCCCTATAATCACAAATTTCTTCCACTCTCACTCACATAAGGGACTTCAGAGATCTCGCCTTCACCGGCTTTCTCATCCGCTTCCGCCCGCTCTCCCCGCTGCGAACATCGTCATCAAAGTCATCCTCGTCGTCATCGTAGTCATCCACATATTCGAATTTCTTCTCATCAATTTGAGAAGACGAAGATTGAGTAGGAGGAGTAGTTGAAGTAGTAGTAGTGACTCTGTCTTCATCAATCTTGGGCTCTTCCTTCTCCTTATCCCCGCCCCTCTTTCGCCCCCACAGCGGGCCAAACCCCGAATAGTAATAGAATTCGTAAGGGTTTGAGGAGGATCCCCTCTTCGCCTTGGCCCGGGAGCGGCGGGCTCCAGCTGATAGCACCTTGCTCGCAGCTTCCCGGGGGCCCTTATGTTGGAAGCAATGTTGGTATTATGGTTAGACCTAAGCAGGGATAAGTGATGGTTGCAGAAAGACTGGCCGAGTTTGGCTCTCTTCTTGCAATGCCAGCCCTTTCCATCGTTCTTCTGGCAACACGCGTAGCTTGATCTCCTCCCTTCCTCTTCGTTATCGTCGTCCAATAACTCTTTCGAATTCGAACCCTTTTTGTCATCAGCGACGGGCTCTTGTTCCATCAGCACGGCTTTCTCTTTGCCGATATCCATCATCGACGCAACGCTGCGTTTTGCATTATTTTATACACAGCAACATTTCAAGCAGAGCCGCGAGAATTTTGAATAATATTATAAAGAGGGAGTAGAAAAAATAAAAATAAATAACGAAAGGCAGCAGAAAAAACCCTAATGCCTGAAATGATAATATCGTACGAAATTGGAGACAAATGATTGGAACCATCGAGGTATAGATCAAAGTGGTGTACCTTTCAGCAGCTCCGAGAGAATCACCGAAGCTCCCATTGTTATTTACATAGAAGCTCTCTTCCAACTACACACAGCAACCCAAAAGGAAAAGAAAGAACAATAAAAACCAACGAAAGCTCAAATTTTCTGTGGAAAATATCAGAAAATGAGGAAGACCCATTAACCTAATCGAGCATCGGGAGCTAAATACACGACGACAGTGGGAAATTTTAGGGTTTTTGGGGAACCCTAATGTTGGGGAGGGGAAACCCATGGAACCCGAGGAACCCAGAAATAATGAAAACCCTAGTGAAGGAAATGCAGGTGGAGGAAGACGAATTAAACAGTGGGAGCTTCTGCTTCCAAAAGGGTCTCCACAGATCTACCCAGAAATTAAAAATGAAGAACAAAAAGCTCAGATAGAGAGAGATAAGCAAGAGGGAGAGAGTGACCTGGTTCGAGTCTGGACCAAAGGAAATAACATCCCATGGGGATTGATTTAACTGGCACACGTGTGCCTGGAGGTCCTCCGCAGCTGGAGCGTGCGACGAGAACAGGAGAGGGAGACCTTGGCGTTCTTCCTGATCCGCATCTCCAAATCTTCTTTCTTCTTCTTCCTCCTTCTCTTCAAAAACCAACAGCTCAGATAGATAAAACACAGAGAGATAGAGAGCCGCAGGGATGTGTTTGGCTGCTGGGATTTTTTTTTCTCGCACTTTCTCGTGTGTTTTCTCGCTGAGAGAGGAGAGGGTTGGGGGGCTCGGGGGTTGTGGTGGGTTTGTGGGGGATGGGTTTGTTTGTGCAGATCTCACACAACTCGATATAATCAGGGTTTCTTATTAACTTTTCTGTTGCTTTCTCGCCTCTTCGTATATATATATATTTTCGATTTACATTTCTTTTATTGACAATTTTGTCCCTAGGTTTTCGTCTTATTCACAGTTCGTGGCTCGCTACTTGGATGTGAGCGGAAAGGAAAGCCTGCCGCTATTACACGTCATGATAGTTGTCTAAAAACCCCATATTTTTTTAAAAAGACAGCGACAGAAATGGCTCCTCTGCGCACGCCCCCACAATAATTTATGGTGGGTCTGCACAAATCAAAAGCATAGGGGTAGTTTCGCCTCTCCACATACAGCATGTTAGGAATTTGCGGGTGTTTTTTCTTTTTAAATTTTTTATTTTCTCGTAAGTTTTAATGAGCAGGGTAGGGTAGGCCGCGGGTGCGTTAGCATGTGATAGTTATCCCCGGGACAAGGGTATTTTGGTAATTTCAATGACCCTTTTTAAAAATAAATAAAAATACCGGTAAAACGAAAAAAAAACCTAACGTCTTTTCTTATGACATGGGAGAGGAGGATGGAGAAGTGGCGCGTGGATTTCACGCGGGAAAACATGGCAAGGCCACGCTCGAGTGGAGCAAGTGGGGAACACGTTTGGCCCACAACCACATGAAAAAGGGTTTGATGAGCGTACGTGTGTGTGGGGCCCTCGTTTGAGTCAACAGAATGGACGGTCCAGATGGGGGTCGGATGGTTGAGGTGGCACAGAATCCGATACTAGGATTGGGGTGTATTAAGTGTTTGGAGGAGGCAGCCTTACGTGTCGCTTTGTGGTGGGTTTTTTGGTAGGCATTTTATTTGATTTTTCACCCTCCCCACTTATTATGGTAATGCCAAGAAAATTATGGTAAAATATCTATCCATTGGTTAGATATTATGACTGTCCAAATAAGCGGGCAAGGGGCAAAAGTGTAAAACTTTATATAAATTGGGGCCATTTGAGTTCCAATAATGAACTATTTGAATCATATTTACAGATTACATATTAATAAAATAAGCCGTATTCCAGATAACATTATTAATAAGAAAATTCGGAACAAGAAAAAGAAAGGAATTATACATCATAAGAGAATCGGCAATTCAATAGTCAAACACTTGATGAGATACTTTTCTAATTGTGTGTAATATTATTTGCATCATATTTATTGATTATATTTTTCGTGTGGATGAAACCTACGCGCATGAAATTCGTGTGTTTACATTAGAGGGTGTTCATGAGTAAATATATCTTATAAAAGGGTTACTCTCATTTCTTTCTTCTTTTTTCCGCTTGACATGCATTGGCCAGTGAAGCAGAGATGCTATGTGCCCTTTGCTCTGTTTGTTGCTTAAAACGATTAAATTTGAGGGTGAAGAAAATGTTTCCCAACAACCAATAAAAAAGCAAAAGAATATCATTGTAATGATTACAATTTGCTAATTAGGAATTTGGTAAAATTTTATAGAATGACTATAACTTCATTGCAAAGAAAAACAGCACATACAACTAGATCATAATTAGAATGGACTAAATTGGAAAAAGCCTTTCTGTGTTCAAGTGTTCTGTTCAAATAAAATTTCCAGATTTGATCTTACATGCATTTGAAATGATTTCCAAGCATGTTTCTGTGTTTGGTTGCTGAGAAAATTGGTCTTCTCTGCAGCAGATTAAGAAGACTAATACTGATGGAGCTAGTTTTGATTAACAACCACCAAGAAAGAGATTAGTTTGGGAATGAATAAATAAATCACCCCACAAATGTGTAACCCTAAACCTAGGTAGCTAAAACTATATAGATCGAAGACGGTAATAATGCATAAACAAATATAGTCTCCTTCACTTGTTGAATTCTGCAACTGCGAAACGGTGCATGTATGGACACCTCTATCCCGTAATTTCGAGATCCTACAACTGAAGCTCTATATATATACATATATGTTGTAGCAATTACAGAGCATATAAAGGAGAGACACATATATGCAATATGTAGGGTATTAATATGTAGAGGTTGAAATTAATATGTGGTTGCTGCTGAGACAGGTAGATGCATTGCTGCAGGCACAGCAGCAAATGAGGACTTGGCTCATCTCATTGGGTCTTTGACTTTGCTTAACAAATATTTCCAATTCACTGTGATGTTTTATATGCAATGGACAAGTAGTTTTGGATGATTTTAGGCATGTAGCTCAGCTGCGATCTGATTCTGATAGTACAATGATATTGTATTATCAGCAGCCTATTGTAGCAGGGGCCCCGTTACTAATTTTGTACAAGACGAGTGAAAAACAAAAACTAGGACAGTTATTTCAGTAAACTTTGAAATAAATAGACACGGACTGGCACTCACATGTCATACCCTACCACACCCTCTGAAATTAGCCTTTCACATATATATATATATATATATTTATATGAATTCTACTTGTAAGATGGCTTGCTTTTAAGTTGTATACGTTTTGTTAGAGACAATGATACCGACATATTATATGTATATATCCAAAACTTTGAAATGTTACTGTTTTGGACAACATTCGCTTTCTTAAACTTGGTTTGCACCTTTGCTACTTTGTCAAGTAGCTGCCTGTATTATCACTCATGACACGGGACATAATTCAGATATAAAAAATGAATCGTGCTACATGATAAAATTGTAGGGAAAACGAGACAAAGAAAAGGAATCATGATCAACCCTCCTCAGCTCAATATAGATAAATTTTTGACCGGTTAATAGGTTAGGACAGACGAAGCATATCGAGAGTAAATGAGCTAAAAATAACTAATGTGAAAAAAGAAAGAAAAGTTTACACAAGATAGTGGAAAGAAGAATACGTTTTAAGGTAGAGGCCCAATTCTTAACACATTTGGGCCACAATCCATCAGATTAAATTAATCTTTACAAGCCGAAGTATTCTAAGTCGAATGATGACACTAATAATAAATACCTAAACCCTAACCAGTTGGTTGGAGGAGGTCTCAGATTCGATTCACATTGATGACGAGAATTAATACTATATGAGCTAAGAAGGGGTGTCTTTGCCTGGGTCATGATTGTCAATATGGAGAGTTTTCTCAAATGAACCAAATAGTGCGGTAGAGGGCATGAAAGTTAACTTTGAATAGACGAAGCATGTCGAGATTAAAGAGGGTAAAAGTCATTAATGTGAAAAAGGAGAGAACATTATATAGTAGATAATGGGAAACAAGAATATGTTTGAAGGTTGGCAAGAGGCCCAATCCTTACAACATCTGACTTGGGCCACAACCCATCAAATTAAACCAATCTATACATCAGAATTTCTCCCACTTATCATGAGGCTATTGATGTCACACTTGGGGCACCAGATTCTCAAATGGAACCGTGTAATCATTCTAATCACGCCAATTTGCACATAAACTTGGGTTTTTTGGTAAAATAAAATTACCTAAAACGAAAGCCATTGTATAAAAACGACTCTGTTTCTTATTTAGAAGCTAGCTATTTTTACACGGTGCCTATTATCATTTCACAACACTCTTTCCGCTTGAGACGCTTCTATTTCGCCATAACCCCTCTGCGTTTTTGTGTGTTGTATTTTCTGTTTCCTTCACATTTTGATCATCCCAATAGCTTAAATTTTTATTTATTGTTTTTTTCATTCTCTGAAACTCGCTCGAAACGGTACGAAAATGGGGATGCAACAGCAGGTGGAGAAAATGCAGCTCCGGCAGGGGTTTCAGAACCTATGGCATACCGATTTGATGGGCACTGTGACCGCCGATACTCCATGTAAGTGGTCATATTTAATTATAGGCAGGTGGTTGGTGTTTTTCTGTTTGGTTTCCGAGAATATGAGGGAAAATAAAAAGATGAAGGGAAAGCAGAGATCATTATTCAGAGAATGTAATGTAAATTCTTGTTTTTAAGGGCTACCCAAATGGATGTTGTTGGTAATTAGTTGTTTGGTTTCTAGGAAAGTGGCATGGGAAATGGAATGGAAGGGTTGAATTTTTCTTTGGGTTTTGGTTTTTTTTCTTTATTTAATTTTCTTCAATGTTCTGGTTTCTCTGCAGATTGTTGCTTTGCGTGTTTCTGGTAAGCAAATGTTATCTAAGATGCATTGTTGTATTTAGTTTTGGTTTTTTTTTCCTTTCATGGAAATTCGAATTTTTATTTCCCCTGTAGATTTATCAGGCTAACCCAGAAGCAAATTCTAATCAGTTTTTTCTTTGTTACATGATCGTAGTGGTCCATGTGTTTCTTACCTGCTACGCAAGCAAGCTCTTTATAATGACATGTCAAGGTAACTAATAATTACATGCATTAATTTCTAAATATAATCCTGATCATCTAACAAAACTTAATTAAGATTAAATGTTGAGTACTAATTAATAATTTTGCAATCTTCTCTGTTATAGGTACAAATGCTGTGCCGGATTTATGCCGTGCAGTGGAAGATTCGGAGAAAGTCACTGCCCTGAATTGTGTCTGGGCACTGAGGTACTAATTACATGTTGCATATTTTATCCGTAGAGAAAAAAATGATTAAATTTGTGTTACTTTCCTCCTTGTGTGCAGGTTTGCTTCTGCTTTGCAACTTCGGTTTCCTCAACACGCTTTCTAATACAAGATGAACTCAACATAAAAACAACACCCTGCGATAACTGCATGATTGTAATCTCTCTCTCTCTCTCTCTCTCTCTGTTTACAAATCTTAAGATATTAGGCTCTCGGGTTAGTCAAATGACGCCGAGAAATCGACTGTTATTAGGCTAGGTCAAGAGATCGATCTCTTTCCCTTGTAACAAAAAGGAAAGCCTTAAGACATCGTTCTCACTCCAACGTGGGCTTGTCTTGTAGGGATTTATGGTCATCCTCAACCAAATTGCATGCATATTCTCCTTGATTGCTTGCATAACTGGAAATGAAGAGCTGGGTGAGATTTCGAATGTCTTGAGCTGCATTGCCGACACGGTCTTTTGCTCGTAAGGCCTTTATTTTTCACCCTTCTCAACAAATTCAATCCGGAGCTCTTTAAGTACATACTCCTGTATTGATTTTTCTTTTCTTGGACTTGTTCTGTTTTTTTTATCCAGGGTCTGCGCTTGCATCCAGGTATGCAATAATTTAAAAACTAATCAAGCAAATACCAGTTGCATGTTTTCTTTCCTGTTTTTTGGTAACAAATAAATTTTTATGTGGAGTTACGCAGACACAGCACCATTTTGAACTGAACAAAAGAGATGGAAAGCTTCCGCCGGCGGTTTTGGGAGTGCCTCAGGTGCAGCAGATGTCACGTACTGATGAGAAGAATCCTCCACAAACCGGATATTATTAAATGTAATACATGTAGCATTATTCTTAAATTTTTCACATGAATTAATCAATAGAGGTCATTTACTTACAAACTACAATTAATTACCTTTTGAGCAATTCTTAGTAGTAGACCACAATATTTATCCCCTCTCAGTCTTACCTGAATCTTTGAAAGGTTAAAACGCAGCGTTTGACTGGGGGAAAAGGGTTGCACCCATTGTGTACAAAATTTTTGAAAAGGAAAAACATTGGCACAGAGAGAGAGAGAGAGAGAGAGAGAGAGAGAGAGAGAGAGAGAGAGAGAGGATTGTAGATATATCATCTATAAGGCTTAGATGTATTCCAGCTGTTAAAACCAACGGATAGAATTTTACTACAACACACTTACGTGCGGCGCACTGGAGTCTCAACCCCGAATTTTTTTATAAAAAGCTGACGTGGATTACGTTTTAATTTCTATTTATAGAGTACGGCTGTGCTTCCGATTTAAAGATTATAGCCACACGGCTATACTTTTAAATTTTCTATTTATAGAGTATGGCCGTACGCTATAACTTCAAAATTTCTATTTGCAGAGTATAGCCGATGGGCTATACTCTTTAAATATTCTATTTCTGATTTATAGCGGTGCGGCTATACTGTTAAAATTTCTGTTTTTGGGGTATAGCCGAGCGGCTATACACTTAAAATATTCTATTTCGGCCTTACAGCCGTGCGGCTATACTGTTAAAATTTCTATTTATGGAGTATAGCCGCGAGACTATTGGTTTAAATTTTCTATTTATAGATGATCGGATATACGTTTAAAATTTCTATGAAGTATAGCCGCCCGGCTATACGGTTAAAATTCCTATTTAAAGAGTATAGCCGCGCGGCTATACGGTTAAAATATTCTATTTCTGGAGTATAGCCGAACGGCTATACGGTTTGGATCATATTACCACAAAAAAAAAAAAAAAAAAAAATAAATAATAAAATAAATAAAAAGTGATATAATTGGACAATGGGCATCAAGCTTAAATTGTGGTTTCATATTTTATTAAAGACCTTTTTCTTTCAACAACACCCAAATTATATTATTCTTCAACCCAAAACAAAAGAAATTATATTCCAGCTTGTTTGATCTTGAAAAAGAAAATTTATTTCTCCTGCATAAATAAGCTCCAACATGTAGTAATCTGCAGGTATTAATTTTGTATTCCATTCTCGCTATCTCTACTTTTTAAATAACAAAAAAGTTATCGCTTATTCTGAAAAAAACAAAAAAAAAAAACGCTAAATTATTTTTGCATGACCCCTTAAAAAGATTTACTTTTCTAATTAATTTATAAAGAAAGAATATAATAAGTTAGGTTTCCATAATAGTTTATCTTTCGGATCATTTCATCGTAGCTACCACAAATATCGTTTCTCTTTTCAAACCAAATCGGCCCAATTACAAAAAGGAAAATGCTTCCCTCCTTACCATGTAAGTAGAAGTTCTTATATTTCTGCCAATAACAATGTAACATGTGTGCAACAATTTTTCTTTTTGTATTTTGATGAATTATTTTTGAATATATGTCAAACTGTGATTCGCAGAAAGAATAAATATCTCCTTACAAGTAAGGAGGCAAATAATATGCTTAAGAAAAATGGTAATTACACAATCTTCGTAGCACTTTTCATAAATTGAAGTAATTGCATGAATTATTTCAACAAAAAGAAACTTCATAAACTAGTACGTGGCTTAAGATCCTAAGCCATGAATTACATATTCGGACATAGCAAAACGCCACCTGTATTTATTCCCCATGCAATCTTTTCAGGTCCTCGAACGTAATTTCACTCTTTCGTCACCACCACCAAGCTTCCGCTCTACCTTACCTATATATATATATAAAATGCATACATGAAATCCTCTCACACTTTGCGACATTGAGAGCAACGCTTCATTTTCACCACAAAGCCGCTCTGCGCGTGTTTTTGCTTATGGGTTTGTCCCCATTTCGATCTCGTTAGGTTAAATTTTCGTTCTCGGAAGCTTGTTTGGATCGTGAGAAAATGGGGATTCAAGACCAGGTGGGGAAGATGCAGACCCGTCAGGGGTATAGGAATCTATGGCACGCCGATTTGATGGGCACCATGACTACCGATACTCCCTGTAAGTTGTGATTTGTATTGGTTCGTGCATTGTTCTTTAGTTTCTGTTTGGTTCCCGAGAAAATGAGAGGCAAATGAAGAAAACAGAGAAGGAAACCGATGGGACATATACAGAGGGGTCTTCTTATAATTTGATTTGTCTTTCTTTGTTACGTTTTGACTGTTTGATAATTGGTTTATGAGAAAACAAAAGGAACAGAGTAAAAAAATAAATAATAGGAAGAAACGAATTCGAAGATTTGAGTCCTGCTGCTACTGAGACTCCATGCAGATTTGAGTGCGTTTTTTTTTTCTTTTTTAGCTGAATGGGTTTTGAATTTTGTGCATATACGATCCATGTGACGTAAGTTCTTTTTTGTTTTCTCTTGTTCACTCTGTCTGATGGTAGCCAAATGCAGGTTATACTTGTAGTTGTTTGGTTTCTGAGAAAAAGAAACTGGAAAATGATTGAAAAAAAAGTGTAGTTGTTTTGTCTCAAAAGGAATGGGAAAATTAGAATTATATATTTTTAAATCATCAGCTCCACATGGCTTTTCTTTAGATGTATGGATTTTTGGTATTTCTTTCTTTATGTGAATATGATCTGACCTTCAATTTTAATCTTCTTGTGTTCTGTTTGTTCTGCAGATTGTTGCTTTGCAGCTTTCTGGTAAGCACTCTTATACTATGATATTTTCATGTCAATGATTTCATTGTGATACTCTCTTCAATTTTTCTGTACTCAGTGTTGTGAATTATCTAATTTGTTCTTTGTAACATGATCACAGTGGTCCATGTGTTTCTTACCTGCTGCGAAAACGAGCTCTTTATAATGATATGTCAAGGTAACTAATAACTACATTCATTTCTAGATATTCCTGATCATCAAAACAAAGATTGAGGTTCCTGAATACTAGTTCTGCAATCTTCTATGTTACTTACTACAGGTACAGATGCTGTGCCGGATATATGCCATGCAGTGGAAGGTGTGGCGAACGTCACTGCCCCGAATTGTGTCTTGGCACTGAGGTATTAATTTCATTGATTTTGATGTGATAAAATTTATGAATAAATTAGCACTGCGGTATTCATCAATTTGAAAGAATAAATGCAGGCTTAGCTTTGCCCTTATGCACTCTATTCCTACATTTTCCTAGACATGGTACATAGAGTTTTAGTTTTGTTTATGTGTGGATGCTTTCTTTATTGTTTTCAGGTTTGCTTCTGCTTTGCAACTTCAGTTGCCTCGACACGCTTTCTAATACAAGATGAGTTCAATATACAGACAGCACCGTGCGATAACTGCATTATTGTAATCTCTCTCTCTCTCTCTCTCTCTCTCTCTCTCTCTCTCTCTCTATATATATATATATATATGTTTATGTTTACAGCTCTTTCTCTGTCTGTACATCTTCTGATATCCTTTTCACTTCAACATGGCCTTCTTTTGTAGGGATTTATGCTCTGCCTCAACCAACTTGCATGTATATGCTCCTTGATTGCTTGCATAACTGGAAGTGGGGAGCTCTCAGATATTTCCAGTGTGTTGAGCTGTGTAGCCGACACGGTCTTTTGCTCGTAAGGCCTTCATTTCACCCTGATCTCAACAACACCTTCAGTCCAGAGCTCATCACATCTTGTATTGATTCTTTGCCTTGTTCTGTTTTTCAGGGTCTGTGCTTGCATGCAGGTATGCAATGAAATAGTAAAGAAGCAAATTTTAAAAGCATTGCGCTTCTGAGTCTTTTTTGCTCACGAACCAGTTTGCTCTAAGATACTAAAATTTTAATCTCCCCCCAGAAACACATGCTCTACCTTAATGGTGTTTTTGATAGGATGTACTTTCATGTAGATCCCAATTTCATGGTGATTTTAAAATCTTTTTTGTAACAAAAAAAAACCTTGATGTGGAGTTATGCAGACCCAGCACAAGCTTGAACTGGACAAAAGGGATGGCAAATTACCTCAGCCAGTTATGGCAATTCCTCCAATGCAGCAGATGTCACGAATGGATCAGCCAATGCCTCATGCCGGATATCATCATCAGCGGCCTGTCTATTCACCTCCACCAACAGGATATCCAGGTCATGCAGGGTATCCAAATCAACATGCAGGATATCCACCAGCAGGATATCCACCAGCAGGATACCCACCAGCAGGCTATCCACCAGCAGGATATCCAAATCAACCTGCAGGCTATATGCCTCCACCAGCATATGGGCAACCAGTATATCGTCCAGGGCCTCCTCCTCCTGTGCATCCTCCAGAATCTCCACACGGTATTTATTCTGCGGATTCCGGTGTGTTTCCTCCCGCAGTACCTCCTCCTCCACCTTCTGGTTATATCCCAGAATCTCCATCTGCTCCTCCAGGACCGCCACGGGATAAAACCTCCTCCTCCTAGTCGTACCGGTCCTTCTTCTAATCCTTCCACCAAGTGATTCTGATCATGCATTGCAGACAGATTCATTCATGTGGGTGTTGAAGTAGGTTCAGGATTTTTGATCTGCAAATTGATATGGATTTTATGATTAATGTTGGTTGAGTTCAATGATAGATATGTAGCGTTTCTTAGTTAAGGAACAGTCATTTACCCATCAATGTCTCTCAATTGAACTTCTTTTTGGGAACCAATTTAGTTTCTTCCAAGTGCTCAACCAATTTTGAGCCTATTCATGTGATCCTTTTCCACTAAACAAATCTCAAACTAGAACAAAGCAAAATATATGAAATTCAATCTCTGTCTTCTGACATTCTGTGGGACTATAATAGAGGAGTGAATTTTCATCATGCATCTCATCAAGTTCTAAGTTGGGTCTCTTCCTTTTTCTGTTTCTAATGGTGATTTGCTTTTGTACTCTCTTGTTTTTTTATACCAAAATTAGTAAGAGGTGTTTTCTCACATACACACGGTCAAAATGTTATGAGAGTTTGAACTTGACATCACCGATCTCCAAATCATTATCCTTCTCCACTAGGTAGACTCCATTAACGTTTGCTTTTGTACTTGGGAAGGTGAAATTTGAAGTTTTTCCCCTGGATGGTGCTAGAACATTAATTCCATAAATTTTTTATTTTACTTTTATGGTGAGGTGGCTTTGGTACTGGTGTGGTGGGGAAATATGCCCAAATAAATAGCTGGATCAATGCAGAGAAGGCCTGCGCCAGCCTGATAGAATTTTATTTACCTTTCCAACTTTAGGAACTGCAAAGTACTTAACATGAGGAGGGGCAGCCTCTGTCTCACAGAGCCTGAGATTGAGAAATGTCAAGCACAGATCCCAATTTCTATATCAGTCAGTCATGACTCATGAGCATGATGATGATGATGAATTCTAAAATAAAATAATTTTAAAACAAAATTATGATGATGTCAAAGAAAGAAACATGTGATAAATTTCTCTTTCAAACAAGTTTAGAAAAAGAAACTAATAGATATCAAGTTGTGATTAATTAGTCAAAGTAGAGAGTACACGTATAATTAGGTACCCATCATGAGCCATGATGCCAAAACCTTACAAATTAGATGAAAACATGAAGCTTTAACACATTTCTAAGATTTCATGGACCAAAATATACATACCAAAATGCTGTATGTTACCAAATAAATACCAAAGTTTCAATTGAGTTCTTGACACAAGAGTTTACTCCGAGTTTCAATTGAGTTTTGAAACTTTTGTGTAACGAATGAGAAAATTGAATGACCTAATTGCCTCAAAAAAGACTTTGGAATTCAATTGAAACTCAGGTTAAAGTTTAGAGACCGCTAATGTTAAAAACCCCACTAAAATTTTCCAAATTTTTGATAGTTTTTATATATATATATATCCAAGCCATTATTAAATAGCACTGACTCTGACAAGATCCGAATAAATCGATTGGTTACCTTTACCTGCCCAACAACATCAACAAACTCCAATACTCCTAAATTCAATCACCACCCTATAATCATTAAAAAAATAGATAACAAGATTAAAAATAATTAAAAATTAATATATATATTTCACATAACATCCAATACTCCTCCCTCTCTCCACTCTCCAGTCTGCAATATCATAATTGGCATTTGCAGCCCACTTTTACACCCAATTGCCAAGACCCATCTCCACATTCCTTTTTTTTGTTTTTAAAAAAAATATAAAATAAAATAAAAATTCCCACCTGCACATATTCTAAAGTTGTTGACTTGACTTCTAAATCCAAAGAAAAACCCACAGAATATTAGAACAAATTTGCTGGGGATGAAATTGTATATCAAACAAGATTTCATGAAAAAGATGAAAAATAAAAAAGATGGAGAATCATAGCATTTGTATTTCAATATATAAAAAATATACAAAAACAAAGAGAAATTATCAAAAATTTTCTCTCTTCTCTGTCTTCTTTTTTCTTCTTCTTCTTCTTCAAATAAGGCACCAAATTTTCATGTATTTAGGTACCAAATTTGTCATGTATATATACATTTCATTGCCTCCGCAGCATGCCACCGGAATAAAAAAAGTAAAAAAGTGAAAAAACCACAAATTCCTGCAGCCTCAAACCGAACTGTACTCACTGTAAAATTCATGGTGAATCTCAGAGGCAGCCCAGAGCCGTTGATTAAACTCATCGCTCATCTCATCAGGCACGAAGGGCGTCCTACAAAGAGGGCACGTCTTCTGATCATGGTCCATCCAACGGTCCAAACACGCCCTGTGAAAAATGTGCTTGCAATTCGTCAAACACCTGATCTCCTCCTCGACCTCAAACTCGTACAGGCAAACGGCGCAGTTTTCCGGGCGGTCTCCGGCTAGGTCCCGAAACTTAATCACGGGCAGGAATTCCCGGATCAGGAGGGCCGATACGGGCGGGTTTTCGGGCATACGGGTCCTGGTCTCTGGCCAAACGACGTCGGTTTCGAGAAATTCGGAGAGACCCAGAAAGTAGAAGAGCGAGAAAATGAGGTTTCGGATGAAACCCAGAAGAGAGAGTGTGTGGAGAAAGATGTTGGGAAAGAAGACCTCTGTGTATCCCACTGGGAAGCCCATGGAGGCTAGAGAGAGAAAGTGGGTTATATTGAGAGAGAGAGAGAGAGAGAGAGAGAGAGAGAGAGAGAGAAACTGGGGTTCGTTGCCTGAAGGCGAAGGCTTTTATAGAGGGAGAGAGAGAATGCCGAAATAAGGAAGGCCTTAAGTGGAAGTTTCTGTTTCGGCTGTGAAGGTCTTTCTTTCTTTGATAGAGTCACCGACTGTAACCCTCCGGATTATCCGGGGTCAGCTTGAATCTGCGCTGTGATTGGCGGGATGGCTTGAGTGGGCCATGAGGCTCACTGTGCCGTGTGGGTTACTTTGACTCTGCGTGACCCGCTCGCACGAGATGTTAGAATTGCACACGTGTCACGTGGTGAAATTAGGAAAGAGATAGGAAGTGGGTGTGCTATTAATCTACCTGGTTAATTACTGTGAGTAATGTAATTAAGGATTAATTAAGTACTGAGAGAACTGTACTTATCCTGTCATTTCATAATTGTGTCATTATCCTTGTTATCTGTTTGGGCGGCATTTGGTATATCTCATCATTATTGACCATGAGAGTTTTCATTGACCACAATTTCCCTCTTCATTTTAGTTGGAAAATGGAAGGCAATGCTTTTTCCTTGTAATTCTATAGCTTAATTTACGGGTTTTCTTCTTTCTTTGATTTATTAGTTTTTCAATTTTAAAATCCATGATTTTGCTTTCTACCATCGTCTTTGATTTGGTTATTATTTTAGAATATGAGATTTTGATATAAAAAATCATCTATAAACACAATGATGAAGTCGGGAATTTAAGTAAGTGGGACACCTCAAAAAAATTCAAAGCAACTTTTTGTAATAAATGGTACAAAATTTGTAATGTGGCCACCTTTTCTATTTCTTTTATATCTTAGCAACAAAATATATGCAACTCAAAAAAGAATTTAGACATCGATCTAAGTAAAAGTGAAAGGGTACGTCTAAGAATTTAAGAGCAATTTTGTATCTAATTTTACAGTAAAAGATATATTAGTTAAGGAATCAAAATAATGGAGAGAGGGCATGTGCCCCCTTCGGTCCTATGCATATGCTTGAAAAGTTATCACGTACATAAATATCTGATACTCAAATTAAAATTTTAGTGTGAGATCTTTTCATGCATTTCTTCCAACTATTGTAAGTTTCATAAAAAAAAACAAGTAATCATTGTAAGTTTCCAATTATTTCATATACTTACTTAATAACTGAGACACTCACATAATATAAAGCATCTGATTAAGCAACCGGACGCAAGAATCTCTCGTATTAACCTTAAAAATACATTTTTTTAAGTTTGGAGACTGTGAATAAACATGAATATATTTTCAGCATGCATCTACTTATTTAATGCACGTGTAAATCTTGCAGAAATTAAATGGTTTACGTAATGCTGAGAAGGTGAGACAATGTCTGTTACTTTCATAATTTTATTAAACTAATGTATCCCGATTAACACAATCTTATTTAATGAATATGTGCTTCATACTTATGCGTGTGGTCTCTCACTCGGCTTAAATTAGTATATCAGAACCCTGCAGATCAATAATTTGCTCAGAAAACAAGGCTTAAAGGTGCATTAGCGATTATAATACTGTATTAGTGGATTATGAAAAGCATTATCAGCTAATCTAATTAAATTATGGGTCCTGTAGCTTTTTTTTATATTATTTTAAAAAAATTTATAATCTCATCCCCTTTCCGTTGGGTGCTAATTTGTCACAATATTTTTTTTAATATAGAGTTTGGGTACATTTTTATTAAAATATACCCTCACTTTTTTTTTATTTTTTATTTTGGTTCAATCATTCACAGATTATGTCTGCCTTGACGTGGTCATGGGAACAGTAATTAATGATTGTAGTTGTTGAAGAATTTCCACCTTTAATCAAAATTTCAACATGCTAAGCTTATCATTCATTCAGTGGAACGCCATGATTAAAACATTGCGCAAGACTAATACTTTTTGGTTTAGAACAATTTGGTTTTTAAGAATAGATTACTTGTTGATCATATTCATATTTCGAGGCATTGTTTAGATGACACACGAGATACATGTACAATGTGATAATCATGACACAAAGAAAATAGACATGTTAGAAGATCTTAGAAGTAGAGAATGAATTTAGTAATCTTAGATTGTAAATTTCAATTTGACGAAATATGGATGCCCAACAATTGTAACTTTCTTTTGGTCAAAATCTCAATGTCTTATTCATTGTTTAATAGTTTAAGCATAACTAAATAGACAACACACGTGATGCATGCGCAATGTGATAACCTGTTATATAGAAAATTGAACATGTCAAAAATCTCGTAAGTAGGGAATGAATAATTACTTTACCAACCTTATAAGTGACAATATTTGTCCTTAATAACATGGATAATGTAGATAAGCTAGTTTAATGAAATAATTAAGCATCACATAATTGAAACTAATGAGGGAAGGGAATGAATAAAAGAGAGAGTGGGGCATGCCCACTTTGAACAAGTCCATGATAAGGTTTGTGGGGAGGACAAGCAAAATCAAAGGTCCATAAGAAGAGTAAGCTAGCCAGGCCAAATGCATGATCATCAATCAGTAGAGAAAGAAATTAAAGGACAAGACAAATAGGCGTCGGTGGTAAGACCCCTGGCCAACCAACAAGGCATCATGGCAAGGGTTAGGGCTCCATCTCCATCAATTTCCCAACCAAAAAATAAAAAAACCCCAGAGGCTGCAGTGCACCTGCATGAAGATGCTGATGCTGATGCTGATGCGCACACAGCTTCAACTGAGAGTTGATGGCAACCCTAATTCGGCTTTGACTAGGGCAGGCCTAGACAACTGATGGCCCCAACTGCTCCTTTATCATTCACACTTGGCCCAAATAAAGTTTTTTTTTTTGCTATCTGGTGGACAACAAGTGGTCTCTGGTCTTTTGCTGGTAGACCAGCAGTCATGGTCAGGAGGAAGAAAAAGAAAATAAAATTCACAAAGAGAGAAAATGGTGGTCAATAGAAGATTCAAGAGGTTTGTGCAGACAGATGAGATGAGGGACAAGAACAAATTAATATGGTTGGTGCTTGAAAATTGTGGTGCCAGATTGTGTGAGATGCATTGGCAGGGCCAGTGTTTGGAAAATTGTTTAGGCCCCCCCTTCCCCAAAAGAGAAAATCTGTGATGAGGCATTTTTATACACACTCATAGTTGTAGGTTTACAGGAAAACAAAAATAAAAATAATAAAGTGTAACTTTTTGTTGTTTTATAATTTGTAATAGTGGCTTTTTGGCCTCTTGCAAAAAGAGAAGTGCACCTCTTATAGAAAAGAAATTGAGTTTCTTTAAAATAATAAGCCTTTCTAGAATCACAGATACATTTTTGTATACTAAAAATTTTGAGGACCTTCCTACCTTAGTAAATTGTTAATAGAAAAAAAACCATGAGTTCTAGCTCAAGTAACACTAGAGTAGGGTGCAATAAGTTGTAGGTTCGAATCTTATTGTGTTTAAAAGGGGTCAATCAATGGTTAATTTGATAGTATGACGAAAAGAAGTACCAATAATGTAACAATTCGTAACTTTTAGAGTTGGCTTTATTACGTTTCAAAATAGACCCGAAATCTTTCCATACCCTAATCTAAAAAGATGTAAGATATAACTAGTCCTGAAAAGAGTACAAACATTAAAGAAAGAGAAAATTATTTGCTTTAAGAACCCACTTAAATTATCTTAGGCAATTGGGTATATCTATGTACTATGCATTCTTTATATGGCTTTATCTAGAATTAGTCCTGGTTTTCACGTTGCATTTGGGGTTGAAATATGAAGAAATAAATTAGAATGAAAAGAAATCATGAAAATAAGATATTTCCTTTGTAAATGGTCACATAAAGGTTTGATTTGAAAGAGAGAATGATGTTGTTTCATGTCAATTTGTCAAATTGAGTTTTGTTCAAGGGGGAAGGTAATGCTTAAGAGAGATGAGCAAAGGGACCCAAAACTGTTTGATCTTTGTCTCCCCTTTCACTCCCCCATTAAGCATGCACACCCACAGACTTAAAATATAATCTTATCTTCTCTATAATGTATGTGGGCTTCTCCTTCATTGACCTTTTGTTTGGATTTTTCTATCAAAGCCACCATTGGTGTTCCTATTCAATTTCTTTTGTTTTCATATTGAAATATACCTCTTTTCTTTTCAATCAAGTGTGATATTCATGATGCAGACACCATTTTGCACCCATTCAATTACATCAACTGTCCTTGTAGCTGTTTTTCTCTTGTTTCCTTTTATTTCTTCATTTCTTTTCTTTTTTTAAGAAAAAAAGTTAATTAACTTCGTAATTCAGTTTATCAAGTTGTTTCTCACACTCTTATAGATTGATCCGTCACTCTTATGTTAGAATATCAATTTGAATCATATATTCGTATAAAAATTCACTTCATTAATACATCATATACATACACGCATAATATTCTGCGATATTGTTTGTGCAAAAGAATCTCAACTTGACAGCTATGGGAATATGGGCTGGGAGGAACGTTCGGCTCCTGTAGGGGAGCCTCACTCTCTTACGGAGGGAATTCTTCATATTGGGATGCTATTTCAGTACCCTATAGTATCAGTGACGGATCCAATAATTATTTCCTATTAAGCGCGAGATACATATATAAACTTAATATGTAGTAGCTACAAAATAAATTTCCTATTATCTCCTACTAGTGCACATTTACATGTCGCTTTAGAAAGAGCTGCACATCAAGTTATGGCAAAACGAATTATAATTAATAAGTATATTATTTTTGGGTCATAGTCTCAATGGTTGCAATCAGATAATGTATTATTGGATTAACGTACAAAATGGGCCATGAACTCATGTGCACATGTTTTCTATATACTTGTTTCTCTTCCTAATAAATCATTCACTGTACTGCCCGTACCAGCCTTAATTTTCTTGGCAAGGTGTATCTATCACTATCATCTGCATTCATTTTCTTGCCAACCAAAATTA